AGATGCATCTGATTTCCCTTTGAAACCTCAGAGAGGCGATAAGCCAGCCAGGCAGCCTGCTGCGTGTAGAGAGCCGCCGGCAGCAGCCTGGTTGGGACAGGGTTAATAACAATAAAGGGGAGGTTGGAGAAGCCTTACCGAAAGTCACATGGTCTGTGTCGGGAAGGGGCGGAGGAGGGGGTTAGAGGAGGAGATGGAGGGAGGGAGGGATGGAGGGAGGGAGGGAGGCTGGCGGGGAGGGGACGGGGAGGAGTCGGGAGCGTGTTGCCGTAGAAACAGAATCCTAAGTTGGCTGGTGTGAAGTCAGAGGCGTAATATTAGGCGGTGACTGCAGTTAGATGCTGCTGGTGGTGTGAGGTGGGTGGATGGGAGGGGACAGAGGGAGAGACGAGGGAGGGTGGGGGGGGGGTGAGTCACACTGGAGGACGCATTTTGCATTCTAATAGATGGACGGACACACACACACACACACACACACCTTGGGTATGTCAACTTAAACCTTCAACCCTCAGTCCCTTTCTCGTCTTATAATCTCATGCATCTCTCCGCTACTGTTATATACAGATGGTTCAGCATTATCCTGCTCCTTTTAAACATATAATTAATTCATTATGCCGATGGAAAATCCATTAGCGGGCGTCTTGGTCGCTTCAATTGCATGTGCTGCTGATCGAGGGCATCTATTAGAGGGAACCAAATGCTGAGACGGGCCAGTAAACTATAGCCATGTAATTGGTGACGGTATAATTGCACAGCACACGTGGCAATTAAAGCGATAATATGTGTAAACCACGCTCAAGATTATCATTGGATTAACTACACTTCCCAAATGCCCTTGAGTGTAGAGGCTCGGCAGCTGTTACAGGGGAAGTGTTAATAATTATGTTGCCGATGTTTTTTTTCAGGCTGTTGTTTTGCGGTTCTTCTTGGTTTTTGGCTTCAGGGAAGTTGGTTTGTATCTCATTAGACTGAGCTGCGGAGAAACTCCTCCTGTTAATGAACTTTTCCTCTCCGGGTGCAGGACGAAGAAGCAGAAGCAACGCGACTAAACAGATATTTTTTCAAGAGCACAATTCTACATCATAACAATTAAAAAAAAAATTTATTTGAGATTTGTTTTGCTTAAGGGTTTACAAAAGCAGTTAATTTTAACAGCCAACAGACTTGACTAATGTGAAACCAAATGTGTAAAATCAATAATTACACTTAAGGATTCTCCTAATTAATCTGTTGCATCAATGAAAGGTCATTTTAATGCTGCGATCACAGAGACTTTAAGTACGTGGTTATGTTGCATATTAAAAAACGTCACTTTTGCCTAATTTAATTGTCTTCGGTGTACATATGCAAATGAATGTGTAGGTGTGATCTTATTATCCAATATCTGCTGTTGTCTAAACACTGTTAACGTCATACATTGCAATTCAGCATGACTCGGAGTGTCGCTTGTTTCTTTACTTTAACTTTTACAATGAAAACTGAACAAGGAAATCGAGAGAGGGAAACAGTAAAAGTTTCGGGTTGTGAGGTGTGTTTGCTGCAGTGATCACTTTAAAGGGAGATAAACTACAGAAATAAACAAAACAAGAAAAATAAATAAATATTATTATTTTAATGTGAAGGTCATTTGTAAGTTCACACCATCTTATGTTTATTATTCATGTTTTACTCTTATAAGTCTAATGATTGAACCTTTAAGAAAACCAATTTGTCATTAACATAATCAATGGCAACTGGAGATAAATGATCTACAGCTTCTGCACGATGTAAAATGCTTTGAGTATAATATCACTTCATAATATTGTATAAATAAATGTTCCCTGTGTCTCTTTCTCAGTTCCCTATCTGCCATCCCCAGTCAGGGCAACATACAGTAGCTCCAGCGGTTGAAGAGCAGCCACTGCAGTGTTATAACTCAGGGGGCTGTGACGTACACTTGCCTCGTGGCGAATAATTTACTTTCTCAACCGAGCGCTAGTTCGCTCTTCCTTTTAAGGAAAGCTGGGGCAGCTTCATTTCCCATCAATGCTGTGTGTAAACCTGGAAGCAGCAGGGAAGATCACAAGTGTCGTGACGTTCTCTCTGTCACCGCCCACATCTGTATCTCATGGTTTGTGACAAGCCAATGGGGGAGCAGGCTCGCTGGCTGGTCAGCAATGTGGGAGGCTGCCGTTTGTACCTTATCTCAGAGCTTGTTCATTACCGCTGTGCCTGTGACTGTGACTCATTCAATTTTTGGGAAAAAGGAGCAGCTACAGTTCACCCTGAGGCAAAATCTATTGTTTACCCCCCTGAATCATTGATCTACTGTTTATCCCCCTGAACCTTAATGCTTCAGACTGTCAGTGTAATTGTCTGTAAACTCAAAGCTATAAATATGAGGATTCAAAAATTATAAACAACATTTATTTTTAACCCGGTTATATGTTGTGTCACAACAGCCACACTAGCCTCCTATAAACAAGGAAAATGGTTTTATAAGCCATCAAAAATAAAGCAAACTGACATTTAAGGGCAAAAACTGTATGGTATCGCTCCACCTGAGGCCGACCTGAGCTCCGGTTACATCACATCTGATGCAGTGGTACAGAGAAAACATGAGGAAAAGGAAAATCTAATAAGCAATAAAAGATAGCTTCAGTTTTTACAATATTAATAAATGAGGACTGGGGCTCCTACCCCATCATTTTGTCATTACGGTCAAATGAATTAAACATTTTTATGTAAATTGGATGTCTTCTTGTAGAATGTTCTTCCTTTGTTTAACTAATTTATGCTATTTCCTATTTTTAATCAAATGTGTCATCTCTATCTTATCTTAAGTCTGAATGTGATGTTTGGCATACACGCCAAACAAAACAGTGTCATCACACTGAACATATAACCTAATGTATGCAGAATAATAAAGAGGCAGCAGCATTGTTTCCACATTTGTATTCTGGAGGAATAGCAGTCACAGATTATACAGAGTTATGCTAATCACGCACTTGACTGGATCCCATATTAAGAGTCATTAAGTCGGCTGAAGTAAAGAGGCTAATTAGTATTTGTGGAAAAACTGTGATGGAAGTGGTGGCACGTCAAGAATGTCAGGATGAGAACGATTATTGTTTCAAAAACGAGACGCTAACGTCAAAGAAACGTCTCTTGTGTCAAATCAGGAGGGAAGTGTTGTGTCGGTGCAGTGCGCTGTCCATGGTGCTGATCAGGAGCTGTACAGCCTGTTGGTTTCCAAAAGTTAAGCTAAGTTAAAACTCTTTAAAGACCATGATGAACGGAATTTAAAACCCAAGTCAAATACGACAGATGTGAAGGAATATCAGAGAACAAGAATCACTGTTATTGAAGAATAGGTGTGGCCTCCAAGTGAACATAACTACAGGTTGAAACAGTAGGTATCTATAATCTCACAGTCAGGTCGAGTGTACTGAGATAAATTCTGACAGGTGTGTTTGAAGGTCAGTTATCAGATCCACATTCATCTAGTTTGTAGTTTTGTTTAATAATATTTTTCTTCTTTGTTATATTTACATACTACCCACAGCAACACAACAAAACCCAGAACCACACATTTTAAGGCACGGTTGAAGTAAAGTTCGATGAACATAAACATACTTACTACCAAACTTTTCCCATATTCAGATAATAGAAGATTAGATTTTATAAATATAAATATAAGACCCCACAGAAAACATGTGATTGTACCTGTGGCTGTGGATAGGAATGACATTTAAAGATTTCCTGAACATAGTATTCAAAGATTCCCTACCTCATGTGGCCTTGTTTTAAAGTAGTTCATTAATAATTAAACAGTGAATAATAGTAATAAGGTTTATATAATTTTTTTGTTTTATTAGCAAATCAAACTGTGAGCGTAATATTTCTCTCCTTATTAACACTTTTAGCTTTTAAGCCTCCAAAAGGTTCCTGTTTTGTTTCTGTCCAGTTTCTTCATTGTGGACCTCAGTAAAGACCCTCACACGTAAAAATAAATCCCCCAAACCTGCGAAAAACACAAATCTACTGCAGGAGATTTGTTTTTAAGCAGAACTGAGGCAACAAGAAACTGAACTGGTCATGATGGCTGATGTTATGGGTGAATTCATGGCTGATCAGACACCAAGCAGCTCAGCAGAATTATTGAACCATAGCGCCACCTGGCTGCTGTTCACCTTACGTGCGTCTGAACCACAAACTCGACTCCTGGACTCACGCATTGAAATCTAAGAACAATACAGTGACTCCTCATTGAACCCAAATACACACATGTTACATTTCATCTCATGCTGCCTGCCTGCATCACAAACACATAACATCAGACTGGTGCATCAACACTGGTTCCCCACCGGAGGGATAACTCAGCCCTGTCATTAGTCTGGCAGAAGACCTACCTCTCTCGGGCTCGTGTTGATGAACGACGTGAACAGACTGTTTGTTTTCCTCTGGTGAGTCTGTTTACCTCCGGGCTGTTTCCCCAGAGGACCACAGGGATCTGGATCATTTACCTTGGCACTAGGTGATATCGCGAGAACGAGAGTTGGGAGGTTGAGTCGAGTCTGACCTTCGACCCCCCCACCCCAATTACATCCTATTGCATCTCATCGCTCTTAATGGAGACAGAAATCCTTCCAGATGTATAAATTACACTGAGCCAACAAATCTTCAACTACACTAATGTTTATTATATTAATACTACTACTACAACTAATGATAATAATAATAATAATAATACTAATGATATAATAATAATGATAATAATAATGATAATAATAGTAATAATGATAATGATGATATAACAATACTACTTCTACTTCTACTATTACTAATAATAATAATAATAGAAAATATTTCGTGAGTCAGTTCTCCTCAGTCATATTAATCATTACTATCATAAAATAGACGTATTACAAATAATTATGAATGGGACATTTATTATAAAAAACAACAACAACAACAAACTAAAATGCTCTCCGGGGTTCTCCGGTTCCTAAAACAAGCGCACCACATCCGGTCCGGCTGCTAAATCCTTCCGCCGCCACCACCAACGCGGTCCGTTGTGAATGAAAGCGAGTCCCTCGGTATGATCACACTTAGTTTGATTAAAAACAGGGTTTTGACAAACATTATTAAACCGCTGAGAGTTTCACGGCTCGTGTCTCCACACGCTAACCTCCGCTGTTCGCTGCGCGTTGACGAGACTCGTGTAAAAGCAAGTTTCATGTCCGGTGAAGCGAAGAGACTCCGCTCAGACATCATGACCAAGATCGGGACTCACAACGGCAGCTTCCACTGTGACGAGGTCCTGGCCTGCTTCTTCCTCCGCCAGCTGCCCGAGTACAAGGTGAGAGATGCTAACGTGTGGCTAATGCTCAGTGTGTCACCTCTGCGTCTTGTCCAGCTGCGGAGTAATGAGCCCGGACACCGGAGGCACATCTGGCTGGAGCTGAATCCTGCTCACGTCAGTGGACAGATGTTTTCTCGTGTTCACCTGTAACTGCTGCACCACAGCGTGTGATGTTACACCACACCAGGCGGGGGCGCTGCTGTATCGAAAGATTCATCTCCCTGAAAGCTGCAATAGATCCCAAACAAATCTCCAGTGAGATGATGTTAATGTTATTATGTAAGGTCGAAATAGCACACAGAAAAAGTGTTCATCAGACGTATGTGTTTCTACATCATCTTTATATTACCTTTATTACCTGGAGCCATAAGGATAAACAGTATTCAAGAAATAAATCAATTCAGCAAGAGTTGACTGAGGTGTGACCTCATCACCAGATTGGAAACACAACAAACTTCTTTCTCAGATTACAGTTCATGCAGTATCGTTTCACATGATTGTAATATTTCTGGAAACTAAATAGACAAATCAAGGCGCAGATCACACACAATGTTATATCTGTGTGAGGAACCACATGATGTTTTAAATACATCATCACACTGTGTGTATTCTCAGATCAGATAAGTAAAGGTGAGAGCCCCAATTTACAAGAGGCTTATTTCCATTGGATCCAATCATGGCTACGCTATCAGCACAGTTAACTGTTGTCATTGAATTTATTTCAGTGTGTTTGTCTCTTGGTTTGATGTGGTTTATTAAACCTCTCTGGATCTGTACATGAAAACCAGATGTCATTAACTTCCTGACCATCTTCTTTTCCACTTTATCAGATACTTCTAGTAAATACTGACAGATCCACAAATCCTTCTATTCATTTCTCAGGATGCTGAGATCGTTCGGACCAGGGACCCAGTGAAGCTGGCCGAGTGCGACATTGTTGTAGACGTGGGAGGAGAGTTTGACCCAAAGAAGCACCGCTATGACCATCACCAGAGGTACGGCACTGACACTGGGCACCTGCTGAGATATTTTTATAGAAGATTGGGGAGTATATGGATATTTGTTACATCACAAATGTAACAAATATCTCTAACAATGGTTCTTTCCATTTAGAGACAGCCCTCATAATTAATTACAACAGATTTGTTCCTGCTCTCCACTCCAGCACAAGAAATGTTAACATGAACACCAGTATTCTGATATTTACCTGATAGTAGTATAGTCTGTATAAGGCATTGCCATGGAAACAGCACTTAACTCAATACGTAACAATCTATTTATCTGCCAATGTTATCACCTTGCAGACACATTTGTATCAGCTAGATTAAAAAAAAAAAAAAAAAAATGTAATTGGAAGCTATTTAAATGACTTAAATTTCATTCCAGTGGTTTGAGAAGATTTTTACTGTTGCAGTTACTCAACCAAAGAGTTTAGACATTATGTAGAGTCTTTGTCCCAGTTTACACATTCAAGTGATCTTTACTAGGAAATATATTTAAAAAAAAAAAAGCAGTTTAAGTATTTTTACTCATAAATGTTGACACCCATATTGGTTTTAAAAATCCAACATTATTTACATTTTTATTGTTTTCAGATGTGAGAAAGATTGTCATGAGGTCTGCACTGATTCACTTGCATACACTCCCATATTACATGAACATTACATATCAATAAACTGACGCGTTTATCCAAAGCGACTTTCAATTAGTGCATTCTGCCACGAGGGTACAAACCAAAGCAGCAAGAATCATGTAAGTACGTTAACCTTAAAAAAGCCAAAGTACAAAGTGCAACATGTAAGCGACATTTAGCTTAGACCATCTTCTTAGCCAAGGTGTAGTGAGAAGAGATGTAAATTGATTTTTGTGTTATATTTGTATTATTGTGTTGACACATGTATTGACGCATCTGTAAACATGAGCCTCTTTAGACGACACATTTTTGATTAGCTGCCATGATGTCATCCTAAACTCTAGACGGGTAAATAAAACCGGATTTCAGATTCATCACTCTTTTTTTTTTGTTGTCCAGAAAACAAAACTATAAATATTCATTATAATTGGGTCCAAGGTTGAGAGGATTTCTGGGATCAAGGTCTCTGACATCCTTGAAGCCCTCTGATTAATTTCAATCATGAATGACCAGCCTCCCTGTATTCTGCTATTTCCGTCCAAAGTTCCTTCCGAGTGATTGCATTCACTCAAAGTCTCGTCACGTGGAGTAATCAGCCCACTCCAGTTGTCTCAGCTTAATGTCCTGATGATAATCAGTGATAGCTTCTATGACCACGGTGATAAAGATGTGCCAGAGCTCTCTTCCTGGCAGGCGGTTAGTGATAATTAGCGCTTCTTCAAGTGAACAGCCCCCTGCTGATGGCTCACGAGGCCACGACACCGTCAGGGGCCGCAGGAGAATGCGGCTGTCACTCACATATGCAGATGGGAGCAAGGTGGTGGTGATGGCAGTGATGGATGGGCCGGGGTTCTGCAGGAAGATGGATAAGGAGCTGCCAAGAACGATTAGATCTCAATAACGCTTTTAATTTTTAAATGGTGACCAAGTGCACATTAAGTTGACAGCAAAACCAATACATCACGATTAAAATGTAAAATACGAGAGTAATTAAGCCACTTAGAGAGTAAAACAACATTCTGGGAAAAGTTTTTTGTACATTGTTTCTTGCCAAAAGTAAGATGAGAAGATTAAAACCACTCGTCTGTCATTTTAATAGAAGCTCAGCGATGGATAGCTTGTTTGACTCCATCCAAAGGCCACAAAATGAATTACCAGCACGTCTGAACTCACTTGTTCTGTCGGTTGTTCAAAGAATTAATTTGTCTACTGACTATTTTTGGGTGATTTGGAGTCTTGCCAGTGAGACTCCAGGAAGTCAGTGGACATGACCCCCCGTAAACTATTGTCCTTTTTGTCATTTTGATAGTGGCAGAGTTTCTGGATCGAGCTCTCTCTGGTTTCCAGTCTCTACCGATGTTTGCATTACTTGCAAACTTCAAACTCTTAGTGTTAAAAGTTGAGAGTTGTTTAAATTAGTGTGATATTTTATTTCATCCAGGTCACATCATGGTATTCAGTTTAAAATGGTTTGAAATTGAAAAGCCCTCACAGCTGAAACCAGCCTATTATGTTTGTCGTCAATACTTTATTGATTGAATCATTAACTTCTTTTCTTTCTAATGATATGCAATACAGGAGCCATAGTATTTATATTTAAACGCTTGTTGTTCTACACTTACCAAAATACTGTCGGTTCACCTCGTGGTTTTTTAATCTTCTTCAATCACATTTTCACAGTAAGTTTGATGACTCCTCTTTGTAAACTGTATCTTTCTTTCACTAATCTTCCTCTCGCTCATTCACTCTCATCTCCTGATAATCAGAATAGAAATGCCTCAGCTTGGCCAATTAGTCCTTTTAATGGCTGTGATTACCCCCCCACCCCACTTTGCATGTCACTCATTCATTTCACGGCCAGTTTTTTCCCGCTGAGCTGCAGCCCAAGCATCCTAATTAAGCCTGAATTAAATGACCAGCAGTGGCTCAGTACTAGAGCCCACCCACCTCAGCACGTGGCTAAGGAGAGACCTCCGGTAGCTTTTATTTATGTGTTCTCACGCGTACACACTCTCCCGTGGGCTCTCGAGTGCTAACTCGCTGCCTGAAGCTGAAGAGAGACATGTCCCCTTGATGATATCTGATACACATCCAAAGATGCACTGCACACATCTGGCTGCAGCAGTTTTTGGAAAATCTATGAACAGTTTTTGAGCAACTAATGAGCAGTAGACTGATTTTTAATCACCCAAACCTTAATCTTAATATAAAGTATGGAAATCATTGAGTTCTGATTGTCCATGCACTCTTTCTCAGTTTTAAAAAATACACACTGTCTGTTTGTTTCCTATGTCAGAGACACAATTCTTGCAGCCATTTAAAATAATGCAATTTGATTTAATTGCTTTTTTTACATGAACATAAACTGGGTGTGCAAATAGTTTTTCAAAATAAATCATCATGGATGTAGCCTCAATCTCTCTGGAACTTTTATTATTATTCTGCAGGATTCATTTGTTAATCTATTGTCTATAAAATGTGAAAAACAGCTGTTTATAAGAACCTTGCTGTTCCTGTAGTAGTCAGCTAATGGATTGGTGTCTTTTTACTCAGGACGTTTACAGACACATACCACAGTTTGTATCCAGAGAAGCCGTGGGTGACCAAACTCAGCTCCGCCGGCCTGGTCTACCTGCACTTTGGTCGTCGGGTGCTGGCCCAGCTGACCCAGCTGAAGGAGGGCGACAGGCAGCTGGAGGTGCTCTATGACAAGGTGAGAGGAGAGTGACGACAGATTGTCAACAGGCTGTAAATTACCATTGATTGTATTTTATTTACAACACTTAGCTGAGTTTAAACATATTGACTTTTAACATGGGGAGGTGTTAGGGTCAGGGCACAAAATTCTGAGGTAAAGAAAAGGAAATGATCTTATTAAAGAGCACCTATTCATGTTGCTGGTTGTTTTTTCAACAAAAACACTGCCCTGAATCCCTGGGTCCCTGAATATATTATAATTACGTTTATTTTGCCTTTAACAGACACTTGGTTGTGGAGTAGGACTAGAAATAAAAGAGTCAATTTGGTGTAAACATAGAGATGGGATTTCTGCAACTGAATTTATCTGTCGTGTCCTGCCTCCTACATGCTCTGCCTATAGGCACCATCCCTCACCTGAGTGTTGTTTTGAACACAGGAACAACTGGATAATAGCCTGCTGCGTTCTTCATATGGAAGGCAAAGCAGGAAATATCCAGACCCAATATTTCAGACATTATCTGCAGTTCATGTCTGAAAGCGGCTTCAGTTTCTTTGTCACATTAAATCTGAAGTGGCTGCAGTGTATTTAATGTATTTTCGACCGCTCAGCCAGCAGGAGGCCTCAGCACATAGAGATTTAAATGGTCAGGCACATTAAGCAGCTCAATCTGAGGTCACCATGAATATTATCACTATTATAACGCTAACATTGGAGTTTTGATGTGTCAGTTTGTCGAAAGCCTACAGTAATCCTGTTACTCACGAGGCATTGTTTATTTTAGGATGTTTCATGTCTCATCCTCAGCCAGTTCAAACAAACTGTTCCTCTATTTTTGCCTCAAAGCTTAGTTCCACTTGTAAAATGTCAACTCTTTGATGAGCGACCTTGTGATGTACTGGGGAGTTGACTTTTCAGCCTTTAATATGTTTAAGCATATCTGTTCCTCTTCTACTTGTTCTTGGAGCTTTGCCAGTGAACTGCAAAAAAGCTGCAATTTGCCAATTTCCTCTTGGTTTAATGATCCAGCCTTGCAATTTAGCATCCAGTCAATGCCCACACAGTGTCCAAATCAATCAGGGTAATGTAATCTCAGTTCAACTCTCTCCCCTGAAAGTCCTGTATGTCTTTATTACACCGACCGGCCAGTACTTCCTTATAAAATGTACAGTACAATGTCTCTTTCAATTCATCGCAGCTGTACGAGAACTTTGTGGAGGAGGTTGATGCCATAGATAACGGCATTTCACAGTACGATGGGGAAGCCCGCTACGCCATTTCCAGCACGCTCAGTGCACGTGTCAGCCACCTGAACCCACGCTGGAACAGCAAGAGCCAGGACACTGAGGTGAGCGCATGTGAGTGATGCGTGTGTGTATGTGTACTTATTCACAGAACATGTGTTCTATCTCAACGTGATGAAGTTGGACTAAATTACACCAGTTAAGTTGATTCAAACTTATAACTTGCATATATAAATATATAAGCCACAAACATGAATAGCAATAAACCAAATTCTGTTTCATCTTATGAAAAATCTTGACTCTAACATCTTCACTCCAGATAAACCAGGTAGGATAAAAAGCATATCTATTTCAAAATGCAAAAATACAAGAGAAACAAAACAAATTATATCTCAATGAACATTTCAAGGTCCTGAGTCAATGACTTTTGTCCCTTTCTGCTTGATAACTGAATGTTTAATAAAAGGCAGCTCTACTATGGGGTTCCAATAAAGAACAAAGCTTTTGTCTTCATAATTTCATGATGATCTCACACAACCTTGGAAACCTGTAGTGATACAAAAAGACAAATTAGGTTAAGAATCTTGAGGTAAACACCTCAGGCTTAATGCAGTGTGCTCTGTGTTCAGAGGTGGTTTTCAGATTGAGGCAGAAACAACAGAGCCCCAGAAATGGACCAGAGTGACTCCTCTATCCCTCATTAGTGCAGGAGTGGGAGGCCTGCAGGGAACAACACCTGTTTTCTTCAGAATCTCAAGAGATATCGCAGCCTGGCTGCATATATGTTGACTATACCAACATTTTTCCATTCTCGGGGACTATCCCAGGGGAGTAGCCTATTTGTGATTATTCTTATTTATTTTTCTTTTACTATATTTCAGTTCACATGATTTACATCCTGGCACTTTCCTCCAACTTCCCTACTCACACCGAGAGGTGAGACAGTTCTGAGATTTCAAAAGAGTGAGAAGGATTTGAATTGGAAATAGGTTTGGCAGATAAATTAATGGTAGACTGACCTGCTGAACTCTGAACAGTGGCTGTTTGTGATAAGTGAGAAATTTAAATGGATTTTCTCCTCCAGCCACAACTGTTAAACTCAGGGACATTGCAGACCCCTCAGTCAGATGTATGCAGATTAGGATTTCACATGGCAGACTGTCTGTGTGTGTATATATACATTCTACGGTGTGCACATGTGCTCATGATAGCATGTGTTTGAATCCATATCTGTCTTTCTCATGCTCTCCTGAGACATGAAGCTGATGACGCAACTGCTGCAAAGATCTGTGAGATCATTAGACACATCAAAAGGCAATGAGGATTTTCAACCAAGTTATTTTTCACTTCTAAAGTCTAGTCGGTTGTCAAAACCATATATTTCTGCCTTCACTGTATGCTACAGTGTTACTGTCACATTAATTCACAGTATTACTCTGTCTGTGTACTCCTGTTTTCACCAGGAGGGTTTCAGGAAGGCCATGGAAATGGTTGGGGAGGAGTTCTTGGACCGTGTGGATTTTTACCAGTCATCCTGGTTGCCGGCTCGTGCGGTGGTGGAGGAAGCTGTTAAGCAAAGACATCAGGTACTAGACCGTGTTTCTAATGTTCATATCTAATCACTCAATAATTGTTCAGCCATCTCCTCCAGGAGATGACGCTAGTTTAGTGTGGCGCAATAACAGTCTTAAATGATTCCAAACATGAAATTTAAACTTTTTGAAATTTATTTATTACATTCTTTTCAATAATAGTCTTAGTCATTTCTTTTTTCAATATTACATTTTTCTAAATTACCTTTTTTTCAATTCTCTAGTGTTATTGGAAGGAGATATTTGACAGTGGCTGATTTATTTCCATAGTTTATATCTGTGTTTTTTTTTCTTCTATTTTCTGTTCCAGTAGATTTTGGTTGCCAGTTTTTTCAAAACTTGAAATTTTTAATATCAAAAACAAATTACTGTGTTCTGGCCTCACGTTCAGCTCATGTTAATCATGTAATATACAATAAGACATAATTATATACTTGATTATGAAGCTGTAACATTTGATTATCGCTAATAATTACACAAAAAACTGCAATTGTCACCTCTCTTTTTTTGTGTTTCTCATTTATCTTGCATATAACATGCAATTTCACGGTTCCCTTCACATCTCCAGGTAGATCCCAGTGGAGAGGTTCTGTTGTTTGCCCAGGGCGGGTGTCCCTGGAAGGAGCATCTGTTTGCCCTGGAGAATGAACTCAAGGTGGAGACGCCCATCAAGTTTGTCCTGTACCCAGACCAGAACGAACAGTGGAGAGTCCAGTGTGTTCCTGCTGGGCTCAACACCTTTCAGAACAGGTAATCCATTTTTTCCAATTCAAAATGTTTTGCTAAAATACGAATTACAGACCCAGACATCACTGTCATAAGTTACGGTTGAAATATCAACTGGAAAATTAAAAACGCTGCAGTCACGCTCAGTTCCCTCTCCACCACAACTGTCTGCATTACTGTTGATGTCACTATAAACCCACCTGTCAATCTCCCGCTCCATCCTCATCACATTCATGAACACAACCTCCAGATACTTAAATCAGTCACTTGGGGCAGAGAACCAATTCCTCACACTTGAAGGTGCTGGCTCTCATCATGGCCCCTTCACACTCTGCTGCAAATCGCTCCAGTGTTGGCTAAAGGTCACAGCCTGATGAGCCAATAGAATCACATCACCTGCAAAGAGCGGAGATGCAATTCTAATGATTCTGATCAGCACACTCTCCTCACCCCTAGGATCTGCACCGTGAGATCCTAATCATAAATATTACAAACAGGTTTGCAGATGAGGGAAAACCTTGGAGTTTGTTCTGCTGAGGATATGGACGCCACTTTCACTTTTAAGAACCAGGTGGCTTGCAGCAGGTGCCCTGGCACGTGGCACCCCCCCCACAGAATGAAATTGCACTTCCGCTTCACAAGGTAAAGCTTTTGATCTCATGTGTATAAGGAGCCCCTTGCATGAGTTACCTCGGCAGAAATCAAGAATGCAGAACTTGCACGGATGTTGTGACCCTGACTAGCAAACAGATTCTCACAGACAGGATTGATTGATTTATTATTTATTTACTTAAACATTTATTGAACTCTCACTGTGGAAAACTCAGTGACAGACACAGCTCCAGAGTCTCCCAGATGAGCTCTTGTGACAGATGATTTAACTTTCATACATATTGGACGATTTGACACCCACCCAGAGGGCTGACGTGTCATCCGGTGAGAATATCTCTTTGTTTTCTTCTCACACTCGTCTCAAGGGGTTTGAAAGGATGTAAACGCACCCAATCCTCAACGCAGCCCCCTGAGACCTTTCTCCAGGCTCACCTCTCTCACTCAGGTGTTACTTTTTTGTTTTCCTAATGTTAATGGAACACTCTGCTCTGCTCTAGGATTTTTATGAGGGTGAATATTATGAATGTGAGATTCACACTCTATTGAACAGCTCTCACAATCACAACCCCCTCCTACTCACATATTGTATTGGTCTGGTTTTTGCTCTCCAGTCTTTCTCTCATTCTTAATGTCCCATGGGATCAATTCACTATTCATCTGTCTGTCATTCTGCCACTAGTTCACTACACTGCAAATGTTTTCTTTTGTTTAGTTCCTGGATGCTCTCTTCTCATGGACTTGTCAGCTTACTTATCAGTTCACATCTCGGTTGACCACTATAGGACGATGTCTCTGCCTCAGTGTGGTGGTGGTTGAGTCAGTGGGGGACCTCAGCTGCTTTGGCCTGAAAACCAAATGAGCCATGTGTGTGTGTCAATAATCAACTAATACATGAAGGGAGTTTTCTGGGTATCTGGTCATGTTCTTTTTTTTATTCAAACAGTTATTGAGGATGTCACAAGACATTGGGATTCTTCCTTTAGTCGCCATTATCGCCTGTACAAAATTCAATAATGTCTTCTTTCATCTTTTGTAATTCTACAGTTTGCTGACGTATTCATATTGAAATCTTTGGGACCAACGTTGTGCGTTCTCTTAGTTCAGCCATACAACGCTAAGGTCCTTCTTGTGTTTCTTGCTGGACTGATCCCAAATTAGCATAGCATGTTCAGTACACTTTTCGAAACCATGGATGTTGTTGCAGATTAAGTCAATGTAGTTGTTTGATTGCAGAAACTTGGTCTTGCTCATTGCAATCGCAGAGAAGACGAAGTGTTTTTCTCTTCATTTATCACTGTGATGCTGAGGAATTGTCAAATGGCAGATGATTGCTCCCCTTTTAGAACACTCTGCGTCACTCAGGGGAAGCACTCTGCTTCCACGTCACCACCATGAGTTTCCATAGATCTGTAAGAACTTGGGGGCTTTTGTCAAGCTGCTATGGAATACCACGAGGCCTTGCTCTTCTAACGACATCATACAGTTCACAAAGCTTTGTTGGTGCAACTTTGAACTCTCTGAATGGAGCACATCAGAGAAGGAGACACTTTCCTGGATTCTGTACATGGTCCTCAAGTTTTCCTTTTTTAGCACAAACACAGAAGGGTCTGCTTGCAGAGGGGAAAGAGACAATCACTGAATTGGAAATAATAGAATTGCATTAGAATCACTGTTCACCAATTATATCTATTAGTATTCTTTATGTTGTGATATTTTGAATTGTTTGTGCCATGCATGGAAATATATCACCTTTCCTGGTTGTGTGCATCAGTCCCTCAATGTTGAGCATTTTCTTCTCTCTTGGTCATAATGAGAACTTCTCCCCTCAAGCCTGCCACTTAAGCAAAAGGTCCCTCATTCGTGCTCATTAAATCACATTAATATTCACTAGTGACACCTAGTGCCGCTCAGTAGAAATGGTGTTGACAAGACAAAGACCCCTTGTGTGAATTTGTCAAATAATTACCACCTATCAAGTTTGTGTGTCCTACCTCTAGAGGGAAATCGTTTACCTGATAAGCATTTTGTGCACGTTGACCTGCAATGCTGCTACTGCTCATAACATGCACGTGACATTTTACATTGTGTGCAGCAGTGTACAAACCAGTGTACATTTGGTGCTGCCCTAACTGGCTCTGCACAGCAGCATGTACTCCTCTCCTTCATTTCTCTCTTTATTAGCTCCAGCTTTTTCTTCCTGACCCTCTCCTCCAGCTGCTGCAGCACCACTGGTTGAACCCTGGAAATATTCAAAACTAATTAATTGGAAAGCTAATCACACTGTTCTGCTTTCCCTTGTGTGATTTCTAGGTAATCTGTTTTGCTAAGACCTCTGGTCCAGACTGTCTTTGTGTCTCCTCAGGACGAGCCCTTCTATGTCTTTGAAATTATTTTTTAATTTACCAACACTCAGAATCAGACTTGAAAAGCATTATCTCCTTGTTCACGCAGTCAACATTGACATGCAGTTTGTACCACGTACCTCTACCACCCAGATAAATTCTAACAGCTTCTACAGAAAATAGCCAACAACAATCCTTCCTCCTGCATACGATCATGCTTTGATTCAGAGGAAGGACTTCTCACAGGAATACTTGTTGTCAGTGTCTTTGGGAGAGAAAATCAGCATGTGGCGGTCAGTGTTGCTGTTGTGGCAGACTGCCACAAATAAATCATGGAAAGTATGGAAATCACTAGGTATAGAAAATCTTTCCAACCACCATGATGCTCTCTTGTTTTCCTGTGCTCCAACTTTTAATGACTCGTCCTGTTTGATGCTGATCTCTGCTTTTCAAAGTTGTAGCACCGAGTCTTTTTCACCGAGGTGGAAGAATATTGGTTGTGATTTGTGCTTCATGAAACTACAGAGATGAAAAATATTGACTTGAAAAAAGAGTTCTGAAAGTCATTTACATTTTTGGATCCAATTCAGAAATGGGCAGATTCGTTTGGCTCCAACTCCTACAAACTCTTATCCCACTTTTTATCTGTTCTCATCAGTTTAGCCAAGAGCGACGCAAAACATGTCAAGTGCAGTTTTATTGTCATTTTAATCATGCATGTGTGTAAATATACGGGAATATGAAATGTTGTAGCAGGTGGGCAATGCGGGTATTTAAGGCCGCCTCCAAAAAATCCCATTTGGAAAATACAATGGATTGTAATTGCTAAAAGATTCTGTTCATTATTATAAAAGATCATACAGACTTTAACTATAATTTGGTCTTTCTGATTCTGCAAATAATAATTCTACTTCCGCTTCTGTCTCTTAATGTGAAATTTGTCCAGGAAGACCAATTGCTCCTACATGAAATGTCTCCCTTTTTAAATGTTACACTTATTTAGTTTAAAGAGAGAGGATGTAGTATGTTGCAGGGTGGTTGCTGGTTTTTTAATGTCTTAAATTGAATCTTACAAAAGAGAAGGGCGCTCAGTAGAGGGCATATCTCTGCCAAGGTCCAACAGTCAACTCATAAAAACACATTTGAATTCACTAGAGCCAATATTCCACTGTGAGATTTGTTTGAAATTGAATTTGAATTGGTATTAAAAAGGTATAAAAGTCTCAGATTTAACTTGTGTATAGCTGTAGTCACCCTGTGTTGTTCAGACTCTAAATCCCTCTGAGAAGAATTTTAAATGTCAAATTCTTCTCCGATACCTCAGACGTGAGACCAGACGACCACAGCAGATGGTCTCTTCGCCACCGTTCCACCCGACCACCGTGTTTTTTAAATGTGTCGTTACCGCTGACAGTATGTGCCCTGAGGCTTTTATCCCTGGTTTGACTCGTCTCATCAATGATTCACTGTGGGTTGCTTGGGAGCAGTAGGGGGCTTCCAGAGCACATCATGCCCAAAGAAACAGGAAGAGGTTGGGATATGTTTTTCATATCAGCTGCACTCTTTCTTTCTATTTCCACATCTTTTCATGAGGGCCCATTACTCCTGGCTCTCCTATTAGTGTTTCTTTTCCTCCTCTCTGTCTCTCTCTTTCTCTCTAATGTACGCTATTTATGTCTGATTCCTATAGTGGCTCTATTCCAGTTCGCCACCTTTTTTCACGATATGGCTTGCTCCCCCCTGTTAATCCAATTTCTCCCCCCAATTCCTCCATCCCTATCTTACCTTCTCACCTTTCACACCCACCACCCCTCCCTCGCCTCATCCCTGTGCTCAGCCCCCCCCACACACTCTGTTGCAGAATCTCATCAGGCAACAGCCCTTTCAACTAAAAAGATACAGGCACCTGTGTGTGGTCCTACCTCAAAAGATTTATTGTAATGGAAACATGCTGGTTGGTGTGGAGCGACATAAGAACAATGGCCATTGAGATGGATAAAAAGTAGAGCTCCAGATGGCTCTGTCTCTGGGTGGCCCGCTTCCTCCACGTATACAAGTGCCGACTTGCGAAAGGTGTGTTGTTATCACCTGTGTCCCTGCGAATGCACCTGGGGGAGAACAGGGTCTATTTTTATCAGCATTGCATTGCTAAGGAAATGTGAGCCAGAAGAAGGAAGCAGACCTTCCTCTGAGATAGAAAATATAGCATAATGATAAAAGATGACTAGGTCAATCAGGACATTTCTGGGAAAAAAAAATATATGTAAAAATATATATTTTAATTAAGAGATCATTAAAAGGTTCGCTAATTGCAATTTCCAAAAAAAAGCCCTAGTTAACTGTTTCTTTCAAAGAACATATTTGTCTCTTTTTTCCCTCTTTTGATATCAATTGGCTAAATCTCTGGTAATATGGCTCCTGTTGATAGAAGAAGAATAAAGTGTTTAAATTCTCTAGCACATAAATTGTGTCCAGTCATCAGACTGCAAAATAATTTTTATGAAATAGCAGAAGGTGGCGACTTTCAACTGCTTGGTTCAACAGCTTAAACTGAACTGGGGTCCTTATGCCAGGAAAATTGTGATTTGCTAATTGTGGCCTTATTTTTAGACATCGGTCGTCTTGAGAGTCAGAGCTTCCTGGCCTGTCATAACAACAGTCATCCCCCTCCTACTCTTTTCCTCATTACCAGCCCTGTTGACCTTTCCGCTGAGCTCGTTTTCCAGCCATACTGGGAAGCTATTGATTGCTCGGTTCATTTAACAGGGATTACGGGTTCGTCATGCTTTTCTCCCCATGTTGTCTTATGACAGTCTTAATGGGGATAAGATTGTGCAGACTGCTGGTGAAAGGACTCCGAGAAAAATCGTATTTCACTGCACGTGTACACATCAACATTTTGAATAATTTAGCTTTTTGCTTGATTTCTGGTGATTTTGAAACTCCTCACATCCTGAATCTTATATGTTATACAGAATGGTAAAGAGTGTTGAAAAGGAAGAGAGAAAACATTTGAGTCACATCAAACTTTTTGACAGGCGTTTCGCTTTAATTCTCTAAAGTTTGAGCTGTTCCATACTTCATCGGGCATGTGACAGTGAGGAAGAGAAGCCTGAGGTTGACATGACATTTTAGAATGAAACTTGATGCCTTTTAGCAGATTGAGTGAGTTTTTAAGGCTTTTCAAGTCTATTTCAGAAGCAGTGGAAGGTTGAGAGGTGAACGATGAAGTGATGAGGCAGAATGAAATCAGAATCGGTATGAAAGACGACTAAATCTATCAATTATTATACACACAGACAATACAGTGGTCTGAGAGGAAGGAGATAATAACTCAACACAGGAATCACACACACACAGACACACACTCACGTAATGTGTTTTAAACCATGTGCCAGGCTATAGACAGGTCTGTGCTTCATCCAGGGTAAATGAGCTGCTCTACATTTTTATGAATTTTCAGCCTGTGTACACGACATCCAAAGACACGTTGTTGAGGTCAGCTCGTAAATCCTGGCAGAGCCAATCTTTTCTCTACTTTGTAAGATTGCCTGTTGTCTCCGCTGCCACCACTTGTCCCTCTGACTGCAGTGTCAATCTGTGATTTTTCCACCTCACTGGAGAGGGACAAAGCTGATTTCAGTCGTCATTTAGCAGGGACTGAATGCAATGGTGCTGTATATAAGGGTTACTGCAGTTTACCTCACATTCTCCAGGTCATGGAATCTTAGAAAACCAAGAGCAATTTAAGTCTTAGTGTAGAAGCCATACAGAAAATAACAGAAGGAAATTCTCATTTATTTAGGTTTTTAATTGCTTTCAGTGCTTCATTATTGATTTTTTGTTGTCAAACATCCAATGTGAAGTTTTTATGCTTGTTTTGTCCCAAAAAAATTTTTTTATATATGAGACAAAGCAAGGACACAAATCTTCACATTTGAGAATACATGGGCAGAAAATGTTTGGTAGTTCTGCTTCATAAAGTGACTCTACCAATGAACATGAAAGATTCAATTTGATTTGGTTTTATTCTGTTCATATATTGATATTTTGTTTATAGGACTCCTGGGTTAGTGTTATATTTGCTGCTTTTCTGCTTGTGCAGACATGTACAGCCCAGTGTGTCAACAGGAAGTGAGCATCCGACCACATAGCATACTCCATCTGTGAGCCAACCTGCCCTTCTGTCTTCCTCTCCCAGGCTGTCCTTGCTAGAGGAGTGGCGTGGCATTAGAGATGATGCGCTGTCGGAGCTCAGCGGGATTAAGGGCTGCATCTTCGTCCACACTGGAGGCTTTATTGGCGGGAACAAGACCCAGGAAGGCGCCCTAGAGATGGCCCGGAGGACCCTGCAGGCTGCAGCCCAGTCCCCTAAAAATGGAAGCAGCTGACCGGTTGGAGAGGGAGGCCAACAGCACATTTTGTTCTCGGGTTAGTCTTCAGAAAGGATGGCAAGGATTAAAATGTTTTCCTAGCTTGCAGATTGTTCGTCCCACCCAGGGCTAATGATTTGTTTCTGTTTTGCCAGAATTGGGATGGTATGGAAATGCCCGCCAAATAACCTTGGACCATTTCCCTAATACTTACGTTTATAAACACTCACTCTGAATCATAATGTGTAGGCATATTATTCTTCTCTCCATCTGTACTAAAATTTGTTTTGGTATTCATTTGAAATAAAAGACTATTTGGATTAAATTCTGGTAATTCTGGTTCTTGAAACATCTTAGTATTGGGTTAAATCCACAAATCTCATATTGTTTCCCAAGCTCTTGATTTTTGCTCACTATGTTCACTATGCACAAAATATTCCAGGTTCCCTTTTTCCCAAAACAATGATGATAATGAAAAGAAGAATAAAAGCTGATAAACACTAAATTAACATTGACATACGTTAGTGTGAACTACCTAAAATGACAGAAACAAACAGCAGCGGTCTTTGGCAATCGAGAAACTTCGGCTTCACTTTTAGGGTTCTGACATGTCGTCCTTCTTTATATAAAGTCTATGATCTGTACTGCTGAAGAAAGAAAAATATCTTTGGTGTGTCACAAACTGTCCCACAAATTTGAGACACATATTCCAAATGTTCTGCTTACATACAAACAGATATTATCAAAATAACCCACATTTAATTCAGAATATCATTAGCTTTTGACATGACTTCTATTAAATTGCTGTTATTGTCATATTTGGATTAATAGTGGAACATTAGTGTGACGTATATACTGAACGTCAGCTGCCGTGTCATCGACCAGCTCTGGCGTCTTCAAAGCCTGTGAATACCATAGACTTTACCTTTAAAGGGTCGGTTTGCACACACACACACACACACACACTTGGACAGCGGTTTCATCCTTTCATTTACAGACGTGCCTAAATGAAGTGCAGCACTACAAAGAGAAGCAGGGCCACTTCCTCTGGCTGCACGATCAAAGCGTCAATAATGAGGCCTGTTTAATTCGGAGAAAATTGAATTTGCAAGCAGCACAAAGAGTTGCTCGTTGGGGCAGCCAGTGTCTTGACAAGGTTACCTCCACAGTGAGACGCAGTGTACAGTCAATTTCCCTGTAATAACGCTCGGGGGGGTTGGGGCCTTGAATTTTCTCATTTATGCTCCAAATTTCCATTCCCCGTCGCTCTATCTGCTACTCCTCCCTTACTGCCTCTTCGCCATGTAACACATTTGCTCTATAATTTCATTTTATTTACATCACAGTGGAAATGCCATTGCAGAGAATAAAAACAATGGTTCATGTGCTGTTAATGTTCCTCTGCTTATGAAACAGAAGCTTTTTATGAGGGAACACTGCTCACAAACAGAAACATCAGACACCTTTAAATAAAATCACGTGCAAACGTACCACATAGACATAACAATGAGTTAGTGTATCATCTAATCTGTATTTAGTCTCAAGTGCTTAGTTATTGTCTCCTTTATCCTGAGAGTGCAATAATGGCTTTAGAAAAGTACTCTTCCTCTGACATCTTCTTTTCCACACTACCTTTGTTTCTCTCTCACACACACACACACACACACACACTTTAGTGTTATTACTCTCTATTTTGCTGGACCTTTTCCAGGGTCTCAATTCAATCTATACACATTTGTGACAGCCTTTTACAGTCACGTGGTTCTCATTGTAATCTCTCTCAGCCATCCTTGTGTTGTTATGAGAGATACAGACGATAACCCCCCTTTCCCCCAGCCTCCCTCGCTGAAAGGAGGCAGGGGATTGCGAAGGTGTGTTCAATGTGACGGTGTAATCACAGACGCTTTGAGAGAAACATCACACTGAAAGGAAGGAAGAGGGAAAAACACTGATTGTAGCGTAATATGTATTGATTTAAGTTTCCAGACACCTCTTAAACGCTGCATGCACAATTCCAGGCTTATTCGCAATCAAGTGCACTTGCCTATTGGATTTTCAAATCCTGGAAAGTCTTTTCCTGCATTCCACCCAACGCTTCCCCCTCCTGATCCAGATAGACTGAGCCAGCATGAAATCCTTCCCTGTCGAACCACCTACAAAGCAATATTTTTTAATACTGTATTTTGTCAGCAGGGGTGCTTTTTTTCCTCTGCGCGTAGTTTTCTAACAACACAGCAGCAGATTAAACCTTTGTGCTGCTCCTCTGTTGTAAGCATTTTTCAGACGACAGCCCTGGCAAGTCCCAGTTGGTCACAGTGGAAAAAATGGCGACTGAGAGCCTCAGCAGAACACCTGCCCTCAGCCTGACCTGTTGTTAGTGGAGCCATTCCCATGAGAGAGACAGGCTAGTTACGAGAAATGCTCCACTGCCTCTTTATCTCCATCTCTCGAACAGTCGGACATGTTTTTTGTGCTGTTTGTCCTGCTTTGTTTTCACAGCACCAGATAATAGAAGAAAATCACAACCAAACATGTGCTCTGTTTCTTGAGAGAGTGGAAATCTGCTCCGAGCTGTCAGATCTTTTCCTCTGCCTCTCTCTGTTTACAGATTTGTGTGAGGTTCATTTGGTGACCCCCCCCCCGGAGGACGATAGCCAAACAAACCATGGTGATGTCAAACGGCTGCACTTTATTGAAGTCAGGTTTTTTTCAGTGGGATTCACACTCTCATCAACCAGCTGCTGTCAGGCATGAACATCTTTTTCAATCGCTTCCTGAAAAACCACACTCTCTCCTGACTGGACTCTTACTTTTCTTGCTGTAAATTTAACCTCTCACCCAAAATCATGGCTTTTACTCTCAGTTCACTGAACAGGAAAATAGACAAAAAACACAATTCATTTAAAGAACCTACTCCAGCAGCCTTTTACAGCCCCGACAACTCCACTTTGCTCCTCAAAATTACACATTCAAAAAGTTTGTCAGTACAAAAGATTCTCCTCTTGGTCTTAAAATGGATTAAATGTAATCCTCCCTCTTCACTTCGTATGACTATATCTATGAATATGCTAATATGGCCCCGTCCTACTCTTCATCTACGTTCATTTTCGTTTGTGTCTTCACAAACCCTGGCTGTCGAGATCCGTTTTTTTTTCAGGCTGCATCTACACTGCCACGTTTTCATTTTAAAAAACACATCAACTCCCGGCGTCCACACTACTCTGGAGTTTCAGAGCCGCTAAAACAGAGAAGTTTGAAAACGCCCTGTTTTAGTATGAAAACTCTGCAGCTGTGTTTTTCAAGCTATTCCTGTGTACACTGGAACGCTCCTGCCTAGTGAGTGATCACGTGATATGTGTTTTCAGGAGTGTTGAGGATAAAACCTGATATGGTGCCAAAACACTCATGTGGATAGAAATAGTTTTACTTTGAAAAAGCTGTTTTCAAACAAAAACGAATACAGAAGAACCTCAGACTGTCGTTTGGTTACTGTAGTGTTAAGTTGGAAATGCTCAGCCGGGGCGTTGACCTCTTATTTTGCTCAAAATATCTCTTTTAATATATTAAAGGTGGACATGACAACAGGCTCTCTAATTATGCACTTTCTTTGCTCCACAAAACTCAGCTTGTCATGTTCAAAACATTCACAGAAATTCAGCAGCAAAATAGTTTTTAAAAATCGATGATAATTCTGGATTATATTCGTCATGCAGTCAAAATGGTCGACATTCTTTTTTAGCAGGTTGACGGCAGCAGGACAGGCAGAGGACGGATACGTTTTGCCATTGGGGCTGTCAGACTCATCCTTCCCCCCCTGAGGGCTCTTCTGGTAGATGGACAGATTTCTTGCTGCTCATGATAGAAGAGGAAAAAGATAGCAGGGGCACTCATGCTGAGAGCAGACCCCTGTGTATAACAGTTTTCTGCACAGTGTGTGAATGGTGTGCTGAACGTGCGTCTCGTCCTTGTTATTTATATGGAAATGTGTGACCCTGGGTAAGTGCATGTCCATGTGCCTTTCTCCTCCCGTGTTTGTAAATCCATGCATGCATCTGACTGATACATTATGTGTTGAAATCACTCTTCATTCTCAACATGATGCAGGGTGGATCTGTGGATCTGTGATCTGCGGCAGTCTTTACATCACATGATGGATGAAGTGTGTGTCCACTTCATCTCCAGTACTGTGCCTTGAAGCACAGACATGAGTGATCAGAAGTGCATCTTCCCTTTAATCATATTTGTTTCAGCTCTCCACTCATCTTTGTTTTACCTCGACAGTTATATATTATCACCTCGTCTGACACCTACTACACGTGCATGGGTTTGAAGGTGACATTTCACATTTTTAACATAAATCCTGCGATTACAGTGTGTGTGTTTTGTTTGTCTGTATTGTGTGTGTATGTGTGTGTGTGTGTGTGTGTGTGTTTCACTTGTGATTGAATCAAATTTGTGAAAGAAGACATGACAAATGACAGAAAAATCTAATTAAACCTGCAAGTAATTAAGTTAATATCTCGTGTGGAGGTGAGTGATGCTTTCTCAGAAACCAGACTGATCCCACGGTGTAATGAGGTGATGGCCTGATGGGGGCGCACGTGTCCCCACAACACACACACACACACACACACACACACACACACACACACACACACACACACACACACACACACACACGGGGAGAGAGAGAGAGAGTGAGAGAGAGAGAGAGAGTTTGCCCCACACCTCTCCAGCTATAACCACCCTCCGGTCAGACAGTCAGTGAAGAAGCCGTCTGCAGGCGACAAGCCACGGAGCCACGGAGCCACAGCTGATTCTCTCCGCTCAGCTATTTTTCCAAACTGCATCTGCATAAGATAATTAAGAAGATGAGGATTTTCAGTCTCCTGTTGGAAACAGTGCGAAGAGAAATTGCAAACAAAGTCTAAAAAAAAAGGGAGAAAAAAAACATCCTTCTGGATACTTGCTGGATTTCAAACTTCACTAGAAACCATCTACAGGTGAGTTATTATTATCCACCACTCTATTAATTTATATATTAGAACATAATGTTGCTGAATTATTAAATAGTAATGATATAATTGTGGATTTCTCTGATTATATTTGTATTCGCTTTCTATAGTAGCTACAACGTGGGCAATTAAATACTGTAGGTGTGTTAAAGCTTCACCATTATTATTCAAAAGTTGCAAAGCAGAATTCACTGTTGATTGACTCTTTGTTTGCATGAAGTCAAAAAAGCTGAAAGGTTTTTCACTTGAGATGAAATCAGACTCAGAAAGCAGGAGAGTATCTGATATTGAAGTTATGTCATTTACTTTGACAGATGTGGAGCGATATTAAAAAATAGAAATACAAATGCTGCAATCATCCCCTATAGGCTGCGTATATGCATTGTATTGTATTTGAGCCCATCCCTCCTTGGGATAACAAGACCCCTTATTCACTAACACAGACATCCTGTTGTTCTGGTATTACATATAAAAAGACACTCACACAAAAAGAAAGAAAAATTTAATGAAATTCCAAATCAGCTTTCACTTACAGAAATATTCCATATCTATAAATTGACACGATTAACAGCTTTTTCCTCTTCTCATAGGCTTTCTGCAGATAACTGGCCAATTTATATGTTTCATACATCAACAGTGAAATCAATCTTCAATCATCTTATTTACAAATCAATATCTTTTTTTTAACCTTCAAAACAGAGCATTACGACCTATAACAGAGTCAGATCAGGGAGACTCTCTCCTGTCCCCCAGCCTCCTTCCTATTCTTATTCCTGCAGCTCATTATTATTTTTGTTAATTGGGGATTTGCATACACCTCCATTATGTTAATAAGTGACGGTTAATGAGTGGTGAACTAAATCATCCTGTCTGTTTATGCAGCCTCTTGGCACCACAGGACTGTCAGTCGGTCTGTCAGTCACCTTATGACATATCCACCCAATCTAGGGCACTGTGGATCTGGGGATATGGTCCATGGTCTGGGGTGTAGAAGCCCTCAGTGTGTGCTCTGCTCTCCGTGCTGGAGGAACGGAGACACATGATTCTGTTATGGAGACGGGGACAAAGCAGATGACATTTGAGAGGATGGTCTTTTAATCTGATTCAAGGAGTCAATTATGATTTCTCTCCTGGAACCAGAGCATCATTTGGGCTGTGCTTGTCTCAGCAAAACAAAACAAAAAGGTTATAAAAAAAAACCACATGATTGGATTGTTGGAGCCAACTACACTGACACCATTTCCAGAGGAGGAAACACAGACAGGTTGGCCGATGAGACTGAGCCAATTGAAAATAGCTTGAAACACATCTTGAAAATAATACTGTCTTGCAAGATTCATTTTCTCTTTTGAACTACTATACACTACCTAGCACCCAGACTACTCGTGGTTTATTTATTTTTTCTAACTGTGCCACTTATTATATGACACCGTATGACTCAGGCAGGATTGATGTTCTTGCCGTTAATAGTGGAGCAGGCAATACTTGGACCATCGATCCAACCACTCTCTAACCTCCTTCCCTATACACCCTGTGTGGAATATGATTTAGAGGCTGTGGCATGATGGGAGAATAAAGAGAGGGATAAAAGAAGAGGAACTTTTATTGATAAGCGTAATGTGATGCTTTTCTTCTCGGGAGGCAGTGTCGTGCATAATGATTTATGTTCTTTCAATGCAGAAATTACAAGGTTTTATTAGATCATTGAAACAATCATTGCAGTGATTCACAAGGTGCAATAAAGATCACTGTCATTTCTTCTAAAAGTCCAGTTTCATTAAAAAGTGATGAACAAGCATCGGCAATATCATACAGTGTAAATAAAGAGATGTTCTTCTTCCTCACTGTCTATCCCACCGTCTCTATGCAGGGTTATATTTAGCAGATGAACTGATTTAAGCCTATTTCAGTGTCTCTCTCTTAACCCACTGACTTTTTTCCTCCTCCTCTTGAACATAATAATCCCCCCAGGCCCTGTTTGTTTGATTGCATGTAAACACACTGCATGTACAGACTCATCTTTTCCACACTGACCCTGTTTCTCTCCGTCTGTCAGTCAGTGGGACCTGATGTGTGTCGGGGGGCTATGGTGACGCGATGTGCACAGGCTGGTGTGAGGAGAGATGTACCAGCGTCAGTGGAGGAAGACGCAGGGATAAAGGATCGGATCTTCACCAATGGCTGTGCATCACAATCTTGTTCTCTGCTCTGTGGGGCCGAGGTTCGCCCCAGTGCCCGGACAGCTGCCACTGTGCCTGGGAGACAGCCACGGTGCAGTGCTCAGACGCTGGGCTGCGGGAGATCCCAGAGGGGATTCCACCGGAAACCGTCTCCCTCCACCTGGAACGCAACTTCATCCGGAACATCCCGGAGAGGGCCTTCAGCGACCTGGTCCACCTGCGGGACCTGTACCTGTCCCACAACCGCATCGACACGCTGGCCTCGGGGGCCTTGCGGCACCTGGGCTCCGAGCTGCGTCTGCTGGACCTCTCACACAACCTGCTGAGACAGGCCAACAGGGACGAGTTTGGCTCCACGAGAGCAAAGACGCGCCTCTACCACAACCCCTGGCACTGCGACTGCGCCCTCCAGGAGCTGATGGAGACCCTGAACCTCGAGCCCGAAACTGTGAACGGGATTGTTTGTGAGAGCTCTGTGCGGGGGGTGGGCGAGGGCAGCAGGTGGGAGGACCCGGGGGCGCAGGGCGAGCATGCGGGTCAGCCGCTCGTCAAACTGTTGGACTCTGGGGTGAACTTCTGCAGCCTGCAGAGGAAAACCACCGATGTGGCCATGCTGGTGACCATGTTCGTGTGGTTCTTCATGGTCATCGTGTACGTGGTGTACTATGTGAGGCAGAACCAAGCCGAGGCCCGCAGGCATTTGGAGTACCTGAAGAGTTTACCCAGCCCTGGCAAGACCCCCACTGAGACAGACACTCTCAGCACTGGCTTCTGAACTTCTGCCCTGCTGGTATTTAAAAGGAATAATCAATAAATAAGGTTTTATGGAGAGAGACTGATAAATGTACAAATACAGTGTGGAGTTACCGACCGGAGGACGCAGATACAGAGGGAATTAACCTTTTACAGCCGTGTTTGCATATTTTTTTATATTTGTTACTACTAATTCCTCCATATTTTTTCTTAATAGTTCTTTTCCTCCTGCAGTTTTCTCAGTTTAATGAAAAATAATTAGTGTGTTTCATTTTACCATCTGCACCGAGAGAGAAAAAAGAGAAGAAACAGGAGTAAATGAAAACATTATTACCTTTTATCTCCCTCTCGCAATCCGTCTTTCCTCCTCTCCTTGTCCCACCAGTCTGTGGCCTTCTATCTTTCATTAAGCTCTTATTAGGAGTCTTTGACCAACTGACCCTTAATGAACACTGGAAAGCCACTAATCAGGTGGAGTGTGTATTTCAGGTCTAAAAGGGGAGCGTACACACTCAAGTTTGTGTCCTCACCTAATTGTGTCATATTTGAATTTGTGTGTGTGTGTGTGTATGTGATGTTTTTGTGTGTTGTTACAACCATTTTTTCCCAATACACGACAACAAAGCCAGTAGTTTCCGAGCCAGTGGAGAACTGCCGATCCAAATGTACTCTCAGGGAGCATTACAGCCAGAGGTTGTGAACTACATTGTCTCTAAGCTGCAGGAAATCAGCTCTAAAGTATCTAGACAGCTTAGTGTACTGATCGGCACAGAGACATTTCAAGCAGAAATGGATCGTGGGTATGAATTAGATTAGAATAGCCATTTATCCTGAGAGAACCTCTACGTTTAGCTTTAATTAATCTCTAGAGTCCAGTTTCCTCTCTGCACTGATTGCTGTGTACAAATGGTTTCACCTCTGATTTTCCATACAGGCTGCAGCTATAACTGATTTATTCTTGTGGAAACGAGCACTCTGTTTTCCCAGTTAGCACATTTGATGCTTGTTGTGATACGTTCCTGACGAGGAGGGTTTGTGCTGTAGTTTCACTGCATTTCCAGCTCAGAGTAAACGGAACAAAACCTGACAGGATTAACAGCCACCTTTTTTAATTCCGCTTGAGTTCCTCCTAATCATATTTACTGTGGCGCGGCCTCTGGAGCATTGTACTCTCTGGAGGGGAGGGTGGGGTATTGTGTGAGTATTTGTCATTCTTCACGGTTACAAAAAGAAACAGCAAATGGCTTCCCTCAAATATTAGTCAGCAACATTTAATATGTCGGCCCTATAAGGGGAGTCATCTATTTGGACAGAATAAGGGAAAGAAAATCACTCTTGTTGAGTTGATTTTGTCTGTAACAGATTATGAGGGTTTACGAATATCCATTGATTTGTTTAAAAGGTCCCACAAGGAACCTTTCAACGAACTTTAGCCTTGCCTTTAGACTTAACATTAGCCCGACTCGCTTCCCCCGCTTCTGTTTCCTCTCCCTCCGTCGAAACTATTTTCGCCCTGATTGTCTCATTTGCTGTTGCAGGTCATAGGGCAGCAATATTCAAATAAGACCGTTTCACAACCAGTTAAAAAATCCATCTAGGGTCTTATTGCAAGTACAGTAATTAAGGAAGGCTAATGGTCACAGACTGTATCTAAAGATGGATGACTCCTCTCCTCTTCCTCCCACTATCCAGCAATGAAGCCAAAATATCCGGCATACGAACGCTGCCATCTTGCACATTTGGTGCCCAGCTCGGTCAGTCCTGTTTTTAATCACATCAAATAACTATTCCAAACCAAACTTACTGGAAATATTGACACATAAATATAACAAGAACTACCTAGAATAACCATCTAAAAGAAAAATCTATTTGACAGGTACTTTGAGTTTAGTCTACATCCCATCCACTAACATAGAGGAGGTGATATTTATGAGCGATACTGCAGTCAGCCACAAGGCGGTGACCACAGCGCTTTGGCTTCAGTTTTGGGGACCTGTCATGTCGCACATCTTTACACACACTCTAGTGTCATGGTTCACATTACACCTGCTAACAATAGCATGTCATCTATAAACTCTTATTCATGTGTCTTTAATCCCAGACTGATTAACGTGTACAGTAAGTGTTATAGTAAAGTAGGACTTTGCCCATTTAATCTGACAGTCAGGTTGATAGGAGCAGAGGCAAAACCTAGAATAGGTCAACTGTCTGTGTCCTGTACTGTGCTACATGTAATGTGTGTGTTTGAATCTTCAGAGAAAGACTGGTTCAAGTCAATGTTGTTCAGGATGGAACATACTGTGAATTATAGAACTAGACTGATGATGTCAATAGTGTTGTGATGAATGTGAAAAACCTCTCTGGTATTAGACCACAAGCTAAAAGATGAGACTATAAAAAGGTAGATATTTGTTCTGTGAATTTAAAAACAAAAATGTAACTCCATGTCCCCCGGATATTTTATGAATGCTTCATGTCGATCATTTAATGTGGGTGTTGCCAGAGTTTACTTTCACCAAATGGATTATTTGAAACACAAGAACCACAAGAACCAAGCTTAACCTGTTGTGTGTAGATTTTTCTGTAAGTATTTCTTTTTATTGTTGATGTACTTTTCTGTTTTGGTGTTTGGTTTTCTCTCCTGTTTCTATGCCAACAATTGTTCAAACAAGGATAAAGTCATAGATCGGAAACCATTACATTAAATAATAAAAGGAAAAATAAAAACAAATATATAAGAACGAAATGAATAAGAAACATTGCTCTACTTTGTTCATAGAAATGCTTTTACCTTTTATTGCTAATGCAAAGTGTAGAAAGGTAAGAGGATAAAGAGAAGTTATAGAAGTACACAAAGACATTATCAGTTCACAGATATGAGCTGATCGGTCAGCACCTATTTTTAGTTCACTATGTGGTAAAATGAAAGGAAAGACTGAAATACTATTTTACATATATAAAATGTACATGATATGATTTTTTACCACCTCTTTCTTCAACATTTTGTATGTTGTTCTCCTATTACCATCAAAACTGGCCCCACATCCATCCATCTCTCCACCTCCTTCTTGAAATCTGGGATATGTAGCGCCACAAAAACACAAAGTTGAGGCCGGGCACAGCGAAATGTTTTTGTGGGACGACTTATTTTCATGGAATTTCCTCGGGGACGAGTAAAGACCAATAATTTCCCCGGATGTTTCAACATGAGGGAGAACAAAACGGGATAAGAATAAAAAGCAACTTCAGCCTGTCACTTGGTTTTGTCTTTTATTTCCAATTTACATTAATTAAAACGTAACAAAAACAAGTCATGATCATAATAATAATATAATAATGCTATTATTATTAATAATAATACTATTATTAATAATAAGAAATATACACAACCTCACACAAATGAACCCTCTGCGCTGGCCGTGTGGAACTGGAGCAACAAAGTCAAACACACCTTAAAATCTCTTCAGCCATTTGAGTGTGTAAACACCGAGGCAGAGGGCGCGGCCTGTGTGAGGGGACTGATGGGAGGGAATCGAGAGGGATGGGGGGGTCAAAGGTCACAGCAAATGTGGAAGGGAGGGGGGGGCAGCAAACTGGGCTTTCATGACCAAATCTTTTTAAAATATTGGTCCTATTGTTATTTGCCTAAAATATGGGACTTGTAAACAAAGATTCAGGGGGAAAAAAGGCCTTAGTTTGATTTGTGAAGTTGTTTTTTTTAGTGTGAGGTAGCTTTATAATATCAAAACAAATATAAAGAAAAACGAAAGAAAAATTACATGCGTTCCAGATTAGACAATTAGCTTGGTTGTATGAATTCAATCAGGGACTCGTGTGTTTACATACGAGGGCGGGCGAAGCAGGCGACAGTTATCACCCTGAAATCCAAAATCCCAGGGTGAAATGCTCAGAGAAACTGCATATATATGTATACACACATATACATACATATATGTACAAGCCACTACGAATGAGTATCTGGTTGTTAAAAAATACAGACTGTTATACAACAATAGCACCATTGACCTTTATTATGATACACAGTAACGTTTTCGATACACACTGTGGTGGTAGAAATAGCGACACCTGCACTTTCTAAGTAGCAAGATTTTTGGTTTCAAAGAGTTATTTAGTGGATATGGCAAAGGGGTGATGGGGTTGCTTAGAAAAGAGGAGGATGTAAGAGGAGGTTGGTGGATAAGGTTTTTTTTTTTGTGTAAATGGGATTTTTTTATTACTTAGCATCAAACTCAGTCCTACCGCACCCGGGAGCCAAACCTAAACAATAAATAAATAACACCAAGACATTTTTCTCTCTCTAGTTCCCTGGTACGTTCCCGTACTCTCCTCATACTTCCTCCGTCTTGTTCATGGATGTGGGGTGGGGCTTGTGTAGGCGGGGGGCTGCTGTTCACCTGGGGTGGAGTGGGGGGGGCTTTTGGGGCGATGCTGGGTGTCCGTGGGGGCGGGGCGAGTTGACTGGATGAATCACAGATGACAGTTGCTAGTGCCATTCAGTGCAGATATCCTACGAAGTTCGACTTGGAAAAAAGCACTTTTTACTTAGAAAAAAAGTCCCATTTAAAAAAAGTGTCTTGATTTCTCTCTTTCTCTCCTCCTTTATCTGAAGTGTGCTCCTCTTTCATTTTAGCTTTGTTTCAAATTCCCACTTTTCATTCTTTCTCTTCTTTTTTTTGGATCCCTCATTCTTTACAAGAAGCAGACCGCCCCGACTTCGACTCCAAACTCCTGGTCCGCTCCACCAATATCCATGGGAGCAATGTCCACAATGGGGAGACGAGAGGTCTTCTGCGATCTGTACTCGATCACCGTCTTGCCCCACTGGCCCGTGTGTTTCTGTGCACAGGGGAAAAAAAACACAAATTTAAAATTAGAACATCTTTGAGCCCTGCAAAACTGCAGGGAATGAGATGGACTCGGTGAGTCTGAGTAAAGAAGAAGCCTGTGAATCTGCAGTCTCACCGTGCAGCCGTCCTCCATCACGCTGTAAGTGAAGCGGCTGTTGCCCTCGGCTCTGATCTCCACATCGTTGGAGCCCTGCAGCAGCACGGCCTTCTTCAGGTTCCCTGTCGAGGCGTCCATATAGGCCACGCTGTTCTTACAGTGGTAGGTGAGGTTCTGAGCAGCCTCGGTGGAGAGCAGTCTCAGGAAGGTCATCTGAATGGCAGCTGTGTTGGGTGCCAGGCTGTCGTCACCATAGCTGAACTGTACGAGGTCACAGGAAGAGGGAGAAAGAGGTTAAACCAATCAGATTATGGCTGTTCAGGTTTCATTCTTGATGACTCAACAGCTACTTTCGGCTCATTGTGCTCAGTTTCTGTGATGTTTTAAAACCCCAATAAGAAGGTTTTTTATGTGATATTGCTCAGAGTTTTATTTTTAATGAGGACACTACTTGGTAACGGAAAGTAAAAGTAAAACTGTGAATAACAAGTAAATGACCTCCTGATTAAAGTCCTTATAATTGAAGAGTAACTTAGCAACAGGCTGGAGAGTTGGGTTTGATCTCGACCGACATCTGAGATAGGAGAGTGTGGATGTGAACATAGAATCAGAATTCTGATTCTGATTCTGAGATGTGCTTTGTTGCACTGCACAGTGATGTCACAGCGTCCTGCAGCACTTCTGTACGCACAGTTTGAACATAACTGTGACAACGTGAGAGGTTAAACCATTGGAGGTCAGCAAATAGAAGATTTTAAGGGGAGAAAATCGATATTTTAGATTATTAATAAAATTGTTATCGATTTTTTCCACTTTATAATCATCTAAATTATCTATTATCCATATCCAGTAGAGTATCCCACCCAAGTGTTCTCTGAATGAATCATCTACATCAATAAAGTTCCTGATCTCTCTTTTTATGCATGTACGATATATAAAACAATGAGCAGTAATGTTACTGCAGGGCATCTATCTGTTCTGACTTACGTGGAATCCTCCATTCATTGTTTCTCCGAACCAGACGTGTTTGCGGTCTTTGCTCTTGCTGGACCACCAGTTCTTACGAGGGATGCTGGAAGGTTTGGGCTGGACGCAGGACTCTCCTGTCTCCATGTTGCAGAAAACCTTGATTGCATCAATAGTGCAGCCCTGATTGGGATCAATCCAGTACTCTCCTACAGACAAAGAAAATAAAAACACATTACAGCCCGTCTTTGCCCGCAGTCATCAAATATTGAAAATGATCTTGTATTCAGTGTATAATTGTGTTGTATAATTCAGTAATGTTATGTTATGACACATAAATCTGCCACATGAAAACACAAACTATATTTATCTCAAATCTTTACTATGCCAGACTTGAACTGCCAACTTGAAATGACACATAACTTCTGTGTGCTTCATCATCTCTCCCCAATTTGACCAATTCCTTCAGGTGTCACTCACCGCTCTTCCAGTCAGGGTGGCACAGCTTCAGGTCTCTGCAGGTGCGAGCAGGGTTCTTCTTGGATCCCTCTGGGCTGCGGATGTTCTCAATCTGGTTGTTGAGAGACTTGAGGGTGGCGTCGACCTCGGCATCGTGCTGACGGAGGTTTCCAGAGGCCTGGTCGGCCCTCATGTACCTGAGGGGATCGGTGGACTTCTCGGTCTGGCCCAGGCCAGCGAAGGCAGACATGTCGATGCCGGGGCCGGGGGGACCAGGAGGACCTGGGGGTCCGGAGTTTCCGGGAGGACCCTGAGAGGAGAAGAAAGAGAAGATTAAAAGTTTATATTTGGCAATTCTCATTGTCAGTGGATTATTATTTTCTAAGACCATTCTCTCAAAACTGGTGCAGGAATGCTGCCACCTGTTCTGCAATCTGTCGTCTCCTCTCAGTTCAGTTTCCTTCTCCAGGAAACTTCACTCTTACTTGAACAATGCAAACTGGTGCATGTGATGCCAACAAGAGCCCTCACTGCATCTTCTGTTGTTGCTTTGAAACTCTTTTAACTTTGTTTTTAGGGTCAATATGATTGAATGCATTGCTGTTGCTACTCAGAGTAAGAAGATGATAAATAAGACAGATGGAGAGTTTTGATGGGAACTCACAGAGGGACCAGTCTCTCCAGAGCGACCACGAGGTCCGGGGGGCCCGATGGGTCCTGGCATGCCGTTTGAACCGTCCTTTCCAGCAGGACCAACAGGTCCAGGTGGTCCCTACATGCACAGATGGAGAGAAAGCCCTTGATGTTAAGCTCTAAAGATTCCGCAGGTGAGAAAAAACAATTTCATTGTTCTATGAATTTGAAGTGACATTATACTGTACTCACTCTCTGTCCAGAAGGTCCACTAGGTCCAGTAGCTCCCTGATCTCCAGCTTGACCCTAGAACAGAGAACAACTGCGTTTAGACATTCTTTGAAATCATCAGTGGGATCAGACACTTCCACTCATCACACTAACACATTATCTAGATCCAGTTTGGATGCTTACCGGAGGTCCGGGCAGACCCTGCAGACCAGTGAAGCCTCTGTGTCCCTTCTGTCCTCTCTCACCAGACTCTCCAGCCTCACCCTTGTCACCACGGGGTCCTTGGGGTCCCTAGAAACAGGTAGACAGACTTCTAATTTAATGCTGTTTGCATGGTGACGTGTTTTTTATTCTGTGACACTTCATGTCAAAGCTTAATTTCACTCTTTACACACTGGATTTAACCACAGCTGTGATCAGATTTTTATTTGCACAGGCCAGATTTTATTTTGTGCGTGTGTGTTAATGATACGTACGGGCATTCCTCTGGCTCCAGCGGGTCCTGAAGGTCCAGCAGGTCCTTGTGCACCCTGAGAGAGAACAACAAAAACATTGTATTTTGAACTGGAACTGTTAAGACTTTTTTTAGTATTCGTGTTATTACTGTCAACGCTCTCACCCAAAAAGTCAGTGAGTGTACACCCATCACCTATGGGCAACTTTTTCTTTTAAATTGTTAGTGAGGCATAGTTGCTTTTTACCTGTAGGTCATTAATTTTCTGCCCAAAAAAGTTTTGAATTGAATGTGCTGCCAAATAATATTTTTTTTCCACCAGATGAAAAATCATCATTAAATTCATGCCTCTTACTGCTGACATTTAGCTTTTTCGACAAACATCCCATTGTATTAGGAAAATAATGATGTCACATTTAAAGAAATTATTATTTTCACTCATGTTAGAATCACTACTCACAGCCTCTCCTCTGTCTCCCTGTTTACCGGTGGGACCAACAGGGCCGGAGGCGCCGGGAGCGCCTGGAGCACCAGGAGCGCCAGCAGGACCAGTGTTACCACGATCACCCTGCAGCACAGAGAGGACAACACTCATGACATGATGACAATGAACAAGAATAAGACCCAGATAAAAACTGAAATATTCCAAATACAATGATGTTAACAATTATCTTTCAACAACTAATGCTACAGAGAAAAAAAGAGGATTCTTCTGTTTGTTTTAAATTGTGCTGCATTTTACAGACTCTCTTGTATCATTTCCAGCAAAGTGTTGACTGACTCTATAAAAATCATCCAATCAAGCCAAATTAAAAGAAAATACTGAGGTAAACCAGCAGGTTGACATTACTGGGGTCAGAGTTTCCAGATGTTGTCATGCCCTCAGGTTCCCATAAGTTGAATGGATTCACATCACTAACCCAATTCAACTTTAAACTGATAATAGATACAATTATTCATAAGTTTGTTTGATTTGATGTTTTTCTCACCTTGATTCCAGGAGAACCGTCTCTACCAGGAGGTCCATCAGATCCAGGGTTGCCCTAATGGACGACAGAACAATATCAAGTGTTAACAGCTTCCTCTTCCACTGAGCCAGGAGTTCTGCTGACTACTGACCAGCTGCATAATGAACCCTGCCCCAACAAAAACAATGCAAATGTAAATGTGACGCAGACAGCTGTGCATCTTAATGGTCTAAACCTGCAGCTTCAATCATGGGATATGAAAAGTTAAGAGCCACTGGCTGTGTCATGCTGTTCGCTGGACATTCTCTGACCTCTCTGCCAGGCTCTCCTGCAGGTCCGGTAAGTCCAGGTGGTCCGACAGGTCCAGGGGGTCCACGGTCTCCGGTGCCACCAGCACCTCCCTGCTTTCCGGGCTCACCCTGAGGGAAAAAGGCTCATTATTACACTCAAGACATTATGAATGACTCAGAAATACACGCCATCGTATGATTCACCCACAGGTTTGTTCAGTGACCCTTCTGTCATTTTATATTCCTGCTAAAATGAATCACTGTGGAAACAACCCAGTGAACACAGATGGAGTAAAATCACCATCTGTAGCTGATATTTCTGGTTGATAAAGCTTTAAAACAGATGTTATAGGCAGGTTTAGTCCCACAAAGATCTAATGTAGTAACACAAACTGAAACATTTCCGTGATCCATAAAGATGAAACTCTGAACACCTGCCGACTTCAAAGAGGCTAAACCTGCAGAAATCTGAGACGGGATCTGTACTTCAAACTCCACTGCCTTTATTCACATTCCTGATACAGCCTGGTATCACTGCTGCTTTCCTGGCATCTCTGTCATGGGTATTGATGAATAATTAATTTTAAGGACATGTCTACTGAGATTCTGTAAGTGGGAGATATGGCTCATGTCACATGTCAGATAGTGGCAGATGTAAGCAGGAGAGACGTCGTGTCTCACGTCACTTTATAGATCAGATGGAATCAACTCAACAGGAGAAAAAAATAGACCCCGGCTCATGTGAGATGCGATTTGACTGTGAGCCAATTAGGACACGCAATGACAAACCAGAGGCTGCCTGATGGTTTCTACGTTTCCTTTTTCACTAAGTGATAAAACATCAGATATTGGGCTCCTGAGGCTGAGGAATATATATTTATTTTACAGCCTTTTTTTTGTTATTTATGAAGAATGGACAATATGTCACTTGAAGCAATTAAAGAGAAACACCTCGGGTTAGATTGCTGTGTTTTGTGTGACTATCCAGTGTGAACTAATCCTCCTTTCAATCACAATTGTTCTGCGATCCGTAAAATATCAGAAAAGGTGAAGAGTAGGAGAGGAAAGTGAGCTCAATTCACTACAATGTATGAATAGACAAGTGTTTTCTTATGGTGCAGTGTGATGAGCAAAATGAGACAAAAAAAGAAAAATGATTCACTGACATTAATAATTGCTTTCGCTCCACTGTTGTGACCCTGATATCTGTTAAATAACTACTTCCTTCAACCTGTATTTAAGTACTGGATCATGTCATGTTACTTACAGAGGGTCCGGGCAGACCGGGGAAGCCTCTCTCACCACGCTGTCCTGGTAGACCGACAATACCGCGCTGACCACCCAGACCCTGAGGACCTGAAGGACCCAGTGGACCCTGAGAGGAGAAAAAGAGAGACAGGAAATACAGTTAAAGTGAGATGAATGCATACTCACATTCACAGTTCTGCATGTGTCATTGGTGCCATAACAGCATCAACTGTCAATTTATTTGATTACAGCGAAACTTCATCAGGTTTTTCTTGATCGCGATAATAATATATGAAAATACACTGGATTTTGAGGAAATGATAACAATAAAGGTATTTCACACAAACTAATAACATTAACACATTTTTAATAGGCACCCAGAAATTGCAGTACAGAGACATTCTTATAGAATAACACAGATGCTGACATCAGCATATCTGAACTGAGTGATGAGGGCTGAGCGATATCAGTTTAGGTATTTACCTCGATTAATGTCACATTATTATTTTTGTTGTTGTTTAAAGTACCATCATTCCACCTGAGTTAACATGAGGAGTCGATTGACAAAAGACTCCTGTGAGCAGCCAGTTAGCTTAGCTTAGCAAAAAGAGCCCTGGGTCCAGTGACCTGAGGACTTTAGATGTATCTGTTGTGAATTTCCAAACCAACCAACCAAGACTCCTGTGAGTCATGAAGCATTATTGTCTGTTGACAGTTTCATGTAATACAAAGCAAGTTATTTTAATTATTGTATTTTCATGCGATGTTTCTTCTTGTCCTTTTTTTTCCTCCGTTGTTTTCTGTTTCTTTAAAGATCTCTGATTTATTTCTTCTGTCACTTGCTCCCCTGTGATTTCACAACTCCCAGTTGCAGCTCCATGTCTGAACATCACTCTCCTTTAAAACCTTTCAGGTGCACATCTGTACCACCTCAGTCCACTCTGCCTCATGTCCTGCAGTCACACCTGAGACATGCCGCTCAGCTGACAAAGACTCTAATGTGTTGATACATGGTTCACGATTTCATATAAGTAATATATAAGAGGGGAGCCATCTTCATGTTTGAGTGTGTAATCATCTGTGATGTGTCATTACCTTGACAGGACTCACCATGTGTTGATGACAGGTTGTAGGTGTGTGCGTGGCCCTAAATGCGGGGTCATGGATAAAAGGCGGGGGTCTTTTCATCAGTCTGTCACTGGGCCTGTGCCGCCCCATGCTGTCATATGTCTTAGTCTGCTGTTAGAGTCGGTGATGGACACTGACAGCTCTGTGCATTAGTGGAGAATGTGCTCAGCTGCTGTCCATTACTGAAGAAATTGGCTCTTTGTGCTGAGAGAGCTACGTTAAAAGTCGACGCCAAATGCAGAGAACAAAACTCACTTACTAATTTTCTTCTTTCCATAATAGACACCTCTGCTCACCTAGACATTTGTCAGCCTGAAGAGCGGCTAAAGAATGTGAGCGAGTGGAGGCTGGGGGGATTAGAGTGTTTTCAAGTGTGGCAAGGTCAAGAAGCTGCAGATTATGTGAAAGCCCAGCAGTGTTGTGAGCGGTGTGATGAGTATGATTCAAGTAAAGACAAACTCACAGGAGGACCGTCCTCTCCAGCGTCTCCCTTCTCTCCAGGAGCTCCAGCAGGGCCGCGGAGCCCAGCGTCACCCTGTCGGCCTGGAGGTCCGCCATCTCCCCTCACACCCTTGGGTCCGTCTTTACCAGGAGGCCCAGCAGGACCAGCAGGTCCAGGGTTACCCTGAGAAGTGTAAGAAAGATGACACAAGATACTTTAAATGGGATCACATGCAGAATGTTAAATTAAATGACATGGTAATCCTTTAATGATAATAACAAACACATTTACAACACTTGACAATATTACAAAGTGCAATCTGTAGTATTTTTAGGCCATTTTTACTTTATATTTTTATATTTTCTTGCATTTGCATGTATTGCATGTTGACTTATTACTGTACTGTAACTCAAAATTTTGCAATCCAATTCTATGGTGAGCAAACATGCATAATGGCGTATTTCTGGGATCTGTTCTGAAAGAGTTCACTCTTTAGGAGTAGTTTCAATGATTTTCTATTGCTTCGTGGCAACTTTAAAAACAGTTTTTATTATTACGTTTCTAATGAGCCCCGAGTTGCCTCTGGATCCCTAGATAACTTTTGAAAAAAATTATCACATATTAACAGTCAGACTTGTTTCTCACAATGTTACACTTCTTTTTCACATGTCTGTAAAAATATTCTTCCCACTGTGTCAGACTCACTGATCTGATAATGTGCAGGTGTTGGATTTTACAGGTGCAAATTAAAAAATGGCTTCGGAGAATAGACAATGACGGAAAGAAAATGTGTTCCTGTGTATCTTCTGCTGCACCTGGTTCTTCCTCGTAAAACATGAATCAAGCTCAGTTTTCTTCTTTAGATTCTCATACTTGAGGTTATACAACAAGGTTTTTGTTATATTTAGTATATAACCAGACTTTAATTAGCAATTTATCCTGGAAGTATGTCGAAGTAGGAGAGAAAACTATCTGTAGACAATATTTACATTCAAATATGCATATGACCTCAGTTGGATGTAGGATTGAGCAACAGTATAAAGAGACTGAACTTACGTTGGGACCAGGAGGACCAACACGGCCAGCAGCTCCAGGGAAACCAGTGGCACCCTGACGGGGAAAGATTCATTTAGAAAAATACAAAATAATCAAACAAAACAATCTTTTCTATGTGTAGATATAAACTTTTCATAAATTCACTTACAGGAGGTCCCTGAGCACCACGAGCACCTTTAGGTCCAAATACACCTGTGGGACCCTGTCAAAGAAAACACGTTTTGCATCAGTTAATGCAGTTAATGCAGTTTTAGTCAGAGTCTTACTTGCTGCAGTTTTTGCTGCAAACATTCAATGTTTTTGTGTGAACACCCACAGCAGGTCCGGGGGCACCAGATGGTCCTTGGGGTCCAGGGGCACCAGCGTCTCCCTTCTGTCCAGACTCTCCCTGCTCTCCCTTGGTTCCAGGTTGACCGTCAGCGCCCTGAAAGAACAAGACATGAATGAAATGTGTCATTAAACCAACAAATGATTATAATGTGAATGAGATATTTACTAAAAAAGTTAAGGACGGTGCTACTTGATATAAACAATCAATAAAAATGTATACAATAATATAATTTATAAATATAGGTAGGACACATAGAGATCAGTTTACTAATCATTCTTATGACAGTTGTTATGTACAATGTTCTCAGTGTCTTAATGATTCATTTTCTAATATAAAGCCTGCTTAACAAATTAGACGTGTGGCATGGGAAGCTAATTGAAATATGCAACTACGATTATGACCAATCCATTTGAATGTGTCTCCATGACTACCAACTTTGTGGAAGTACAATAACGTAAATAGAGAACAAATTGATGTTTTAGACCTCAGCTAATAAATTATAATGTATGATTAGGAGGAAACAAATGACCTAATTGGTCCCGGTCTGTTCTCCCAACACTCACAAGTCATGAGGTATCTTCCTTTACACACAGCGCAGTAGCTCAGTCACTTATTTTCCTCTCCTGTTCCTGCTCTGCTCATATTTTGGTACTTTTACAGAGGGAAACTATTGTTCGAGCCCTGTCACAGCAAGAATCAATCACATAAGTGGAATGAGTTTTCATGACCACAATGTAGTTCATCATTTTATCTTTGAATCAGTAATAACAAAGTTGTCTGTTTTGTAACTTTGGTTGTAATAATCATCTGCTTGTGATGATCAACTATAATCAGTTTCCACTTTATTTAATAAAAGCTGCTGATGTTTTATGAAGCATCTATGTCTATTTTCACTCTGTGCACATGGACATAATGTTACAGTCTGTGAGCTTTGCACCAACAAATATTATTTCCTTATTTGAAGCATTATTCATCCTGACATAAAGTAATTGATTAGTCAACCTAGAGACAACAGAAAACGAATGATAAAGCATGCTGAAATAAAAGCACTGATGATATTGCTTTCGGAAGGATGCAGCTTATTAAAAACTTTTATCTGATGACGGCCTGGAGACTTCAGGAGGAGCTAAATGGATGAGTGGTGCGAGGACTTCCGACTATCTACACACTAATCTCTCCGCACGGAACAACGAGGAAACAAGACGTGTGCTGAGATAAAAAAACATTATTGACTGAGGCAAAATCCGAATGTTTCCAGATTGTAGTAATAAAAAGCAAGAAGACAGAAGCTGGTTGATTTCGGTCATGTCACAAAATACCCACATTTACACTTGATTTGATCTTTAGATTGGTGTTATCTGTTATCTGATGAATACAAATATAAGATCTTATTGATAATTGAGATGAACTGAGAATCTAGACATATTTATAAACACCCAGCCGCTCTGACCTCTTTACTTCCTCTAACATGGAGTTACTTAAGGTCAATGCATAAGTGACTTATCTTCCTTGAATTATCAGTGTAATTAAAAATATTTATGACTGGATGGCTCCAAAAATAAATCTACAGTAACATATTTTATTATTTCAATTTGTATTCCTGCACATCGCTCAAGGAGTCTTCACTGGAAGTCTTTGTGTTACTTACAGGGGGTCCAGCAAATCCAGCAGGTCCAGGAGGTCCAGTCTCACCCCTGTCACCCTGAAAGAGGGAGGAAGAGAGGTGAGACACGTGATAAATAATCTGTTAAACTTTTCAAAACAGATTTTAAAACGATAATCTCTAATCTTTGAAATTATCTCTAAAAGAGAACTGACGGATGTTTAATCAGATAAAATCAACAATAAATCATTTCTATTTGAAGGAATGCACACTGATTAAACTGTGACACTTACAGGAGTGCCGCGGGTACCGGGAGCTCCAGAGGGACCAGCAGGACCTGATTCACCCTGAAAGGATGAGAGCATTGGAAATTAACACACATTATACTGGAAACACTGGAATCAGATACAAAATCAGTGACCACCATGTCTCAGAGTAAGTCATGACAGATCTACGTCATGGTATTAACAGATTCTAAAGAGGAATGTACATCCAAAACCCATTAATGCCAGGGTGACCGTAACTGTTGACGTGAAAAACAAGGTGACACGGCACTAACCTTCTCTCCGTTGGGGCCACCAGGACCAGGAGGGCCGATGGGACCAGTGAGACCCTGGGACAGGAAACAGGAAGTCAGTGTTAAAATGTGCAAACGTTTGAATCAGCATGAGAAGCTTTTATTTAGATTTAATAGCTAAATTTATGAGGAAATACATCATCCCCTGACTGTTATCAGCAGAGAACAAATAGAAGAAGGACTCACTCTACCACCATCTTTGCCAGAGGCACCTTCAGGTCCTTTCTCTCCAATGTCCCCCTATAGGAATTAAAAACCAAACAAACAAAATAGTCATTTACTAATTAGCATGAAATGCAAATCAAGTAGAGAAAATTTAACATATCCAACACATGGATATTTTGTGATTAGCACATTAATCGGGTTGTGGCTTACTCTGTCTCCTTTGGGTCCGGGGATGCCAGCACCACCTCTCTCTCCAGGCATACCCTGCAGGCCGGGGGGTCCCTGAGCTCCAGCACCACCAGCAGGTCCAATGGCTCCCTGTTATGGAGCAGATATAAATGCAGATGGGCTACAGACGGACTCAGACAGAAAAGGTACTTCAGGTCTGTGAATATTGAACAGTTGTGTATAGTATATTTTAGTATAAGGAGGCTGTCAAGGTTTTAGGCCAAAAGAAAATGTTTTCTACTTTTTTGTGTTTCTTTACATGATGCCGTCTCATTGCGAGAAGACATTGATGTATTCAACGCTCATCTATGTCTGGGGCATGTTCTGCTCTGGTTATCACAGGATTGAAAGAATGAAAGAAACACTGCTGATAAATCTTATTCACCCGACACGGGTTGTTTAGAGTCAACTCATTTAGATCAATCAACCAACGTACCTGTCAATCAGACTTAAAATACAAAACAGATCTAAAAGTGCACATGTTCCTTTTAAGGATCGTGCCATATTTTATTCTGTAACTCGTTATTAGACTCGGGGAGTTTAATCTTAAAAAACATTTCCACATATCACAGCCAATGACTGGAATCAAGTGCAGTCTTTGATTTTGTTTTAAAGTGGCTCCGTCAGGCCCACTCCTGGTCAAAAGCTGTCAGGCTTATCGGCAACACTTTCTCTTGCAGCCTCAGACTGGAGATCAGACACTCACCCACCAATTCTGCAGCTTATCTCCAGTCATTAAAATGTAACCACGGGGCACAGCCTCCACGTTGGCTCTGAATACATCCAAACTGCGTTCTAACTCAATGCAGGATAAGTCTCGTGCAACATATCCCTTCGCAACTTTCTCAGAATCTCGGTTCCTCCTCCCCCTCTGCAAACTGCCTGTTTCTACCTCCTCCATCACTCACTCGTGTCAGCTCTATAATCCTCGGCCTCTCTATCTGCTCCTGTCCAACCTTAAGGGGAAGAAGACCTATAAACTGCGATTAAAATCTGAACGGATAACAAAATCAAAATGGCCAATTGCAGTCGCTCTGAGCTCTTCCTCCACTCACTGTGCTGTTGTGACAAATGACTGCAGTGGATGGATGAACAAATGGCTGTGCAGAGTGGAAATAGCCTGAGTGAAATTCAGTTGTTTGGAAATGTAGAGAAGACATTATTTTTTTTATAAATGTTTATTGAATTGTTTTAAATCCTTCAAGCAGTGTGTATATGCTGCATAAATAATATCCATCTATGTGTGAGTATACAGGTACTGTACATTTGGAGTATAGTTAATTATTACATTTTTCTTATTTAATGAAATACATTGTATATTTTTACTATTAAAAAGGAGAAAAATATTTTCTCTTTCCTATGTTCTTGAGTCCTGGAGCAGTAAAAGTATGAAGAAAATGACAAAACAACTCCATAAATTAGAGGAAAATATGAAATAACACTACTTCATTGCGGAGAAACATTTTATCTGCTTGTAACATCTGTCCCTAAAACCATTATAGGGCTCTTGAGCCCTAATTTGGGGACCTCTCTATGACACCAAGGTTTCCCAGAATCAGCAGTTCTCTAAAATGACATACGGTAATAAGGTTTTTGCAGAAATCGGAAATAAGCACCACAAAATCGTAAAAACACTTCATGGGAGTAACTTTTTGAATCTGTCTGTTGGACTCACCTTGGGTCCATCAGTTCCGGGAGTTCCAGGCAGACCTCTGGGTCCCTGCAGACCCTGAGGACCAGCAGCTCCTCTCTCTCCGGGGAAACCACGCTCACCCTGAACAGTGACACAATCGACAATCAGCCGACCAAAGAAATTTAAAGAAATGTATAAAAATCAAATAATAGACAGTTGACTTACTCTGGGTCCAGTAGCTCCGGCACCTCCAGCCTCTCCAGGAACTCCCTGAGACGACAAATAAGAAAGAGAAGTTGAAGAAAAGATAGGATCAGAATATGAACATCTAACAGATTAATAGAAAAATTCTAATGCTGTCAGAGTAAAGGACATGTACCTATCACAATGTCTGATTCTTTGAGTATCTCTTTTTATCAAGCAAATGACAGAAAACATTGTATTTCCACTGCGATGTGATGTTGAGGTTAAAAGTTATATTTCACTAAGAAAGTGCACCCACCTGGTCTCCGGGCTTGCCTCCCTCTCCAGGGGGGCCTGGAGGTCCAGGCAGACCCTGTATGCAGGAGAGAAAAAACCCCCAGATGAAACAGAAATGAGAAAAACACCAAACATAAATCAGCATAATACTGTATGTTAGCTAAGAGAGTATTCATACAGCAAGAAATGTACAACGGTTATAATTATATTACAATGACAATATTTTTAAATCAGGTTTGAGATAAACTGAGCGACTGATCTATTCATTTGTAATTCTTTACTATTACACTTCAAACTCAGGTAGAAAAACAAACATGTATAAACTTTACAAGCTCAAGGTTTGAGGTAAACAGACTCACCTGGAAGCCGGAGGGTCCGGGCTGTCCTTGCTCTCCTCTCTCTCCAGCGGGGCCCTACGCAGATAATCCATAAATTATCATAAATCACAGTTCAACTTTTCTTTTAGGATATTTTTGGGCACTATGGCCTTTATAGGATTTTATATGGAGGTTTTCTCAGGTCAGTGATGCCATCGTACAAACTCATGAGATTAGTGTCAAGGACGTTTTTTTTTTCCAGACAGTGCTCTCAACAAGAAAGTCTGGGAAATGGGGGATACTGAAGGTTGCCTTTAAGTGCAGGCTGAGAAAAGGGGAGAGATAATATCAGTTTTTAAGCTATATGGAGTGGGATGGGGGGGAGATACGTACAGCGGGGCCGGGGGGTCCAGCAGCGCCAGTTTCTCCATCTTTGCCGGGCAGACCCTGAAGAGAGAAATGAAAGGGAGGGTGGAGGAGGGGAAGGGTTGGACAGAAAGACACTTAGACCAAAGGTGACACCATTTACTAGACAGACATCTGATAACTATAATTGAGCTTTTCAACAGGCTTCTCATGTGGGAGCTGCACTACAGACTTAACGGTAGATCAGTGGTAGCTACAGAATAAAAAAAAACTTTGAATTTGAACAAAAAGATTCAATTTGATCTGTTTAATCATTTGATAAACATGAACATTTAGTCTGTGTTTATTTATTAACTGTCAGGTATCCAAATACAGACATTCACAGACCACTAGATCATAGGATGGTTGACGTGAAATGATTAAAATGATTCTTTATATTTTGAAGTTAAAGCAGAAACGTGGAAGTAACTTACTCTCAGACCTGCAGCTCCAGCCAGTCCTTTCTCTCCAGACTTGCCAGACTCACCCTGATCACAACAGAAACAGGAAACAGAGGTTATTTAACAGGCCACTGCTGATTCGCTTGATCCACCATGAGCATAAAGTTGTAAGCAGTACTCCAGGTGAAGACTTGCTCCTAATTAAAAGGTCTACTTGTCCACATCTAATACATTAAAACAATAGATCCTGTGGACTATAGAGGCATCTTTAGTTCTGCACACAAACACTTACAGTCGCTCCCTTGGGTCCAGGGAATCCCATGACGCCAGGCTGTCCGCGGGCTCCCTGTGGGCCAGGGGGTCCAGGACGTCCATCCTCACCAGAACCTCCCTAATTGAGTAAAGTTCCATTTAGTTCCAGAGCAAATAAAAAAAAAAAAAGGTTTGCAAAATATAAAACTGAAGCCAAATGAAAAAGATTTAATTTCCCCTCCAATGCTCATAAATAAATAAAAACCCAGAGGGGTGAACTTGGAAACACCAGGGGGAGAAAAATTAACAGATCAAATAATGCCTCAGTCGTAATCAGTGTGTCCACATACCTGTCCCTGAAGCACTGAGTCCAAAAATTAACAACTGCTTAATCTACTGGTAAACAATAATATTTAAATACATTTAAAGAAACACAGTCCCTGAACAGAAAACATGACTTATGTTTAAATGTGGACATTACATTCATACAGTCCATATAAAATATGAAATATTAGAGCAGCACATACATAAACATGCACTGTATGATACAGTGGTAACAAAAGATTCACATTTTCTGGAGCCAGTCCTTTAACATAAATCAGTTCATGGAGGTTTCACTAAAGGGTTTTGGTGTAAACACTTAACTTAAGTGTTATCCTGAAAAACAGGAGAGTATCAAACTGAAGGTGAAGAAATGAACTTAATGTGAAAGTTGATTTAAAAAAAGCTGTGTCAGACTTCAGTCTCGAAGAACCAAGACACTTGAGCTTATTTGAAACACGAGCGAGGCTAGGTGGTGGAAAAATAGATAAATCTCCCGCAATTCAATTTGATGAAACCACTTATGAGTCATTACGTGATGAGAGAACATTTTATATATAATCTCTCCCTGGTTGTTCCACATGTGATGCTAGAAATCAAACCTCTTCACACACATGCTGTGTGATTATTTTTCATTAATGTACAAACACAAAACAACTACATTAATGTTGCCACGTCATAAAAAAAGTTCACTTACAGAAGGTCCAACTTTTCCTTGAGGACCAGCGTCACCAGGTCGTCCAGTTAGGCCCTGTAGGAAAAACACAATCGAGATCCAGGTGAGTCATCATCAGACGTCTCTACACAGACACGTGCCGAGGGAAAAGAGATGGGAACATATGGCATTGTGGGAAATTACATTTACATGTGTGATAGGCCCGGTGAGCGAGAAGCAACAGCTGAACACCTACTGATGGAAGTGACTAAGAGCTGAAATACGTATGAATGAGAGAGAGACCACAGATGTGAATGTGCTCTGTTCACAACAGGTACTGATTTCATTCTCGCTCTGTAGTGATGAAGCACAAACCAACAAGCGTCAGTGCTTGTTGGTTTGTGCTTCATAGACTTAAGGATGAAGGGGATCTCTCTACTGATTTTACACATATTATATTATACATATACGTTTATTCCTCATAAGACAGACACTCCCATGGGGCTCTGGACGAGCTCTGTGGCTACCTCAGCTAAATTTGGGGTAATTTTATAAATAAACTAAAGGGAACCTCCAAATATTTTACACATTAAACTATGTTAAAAGGACTTTGGGAGTTCTGAAAAGACTTTAGTGCTGCATGAAATCTGATAAATTGCCTCAAGTGGTGTCCTTTACACCAGCGTCAGCTGGGTCTGACTACAGATTTGGGAAAGCAAAAAATCTTGGTGTGTGGATTAAGAAAGAAGTGACCTTACCAGACCTCTGGAGCTCACTGCTTATCTCTGCTGGAGAGCAGCGGCTCAAGGCTACGTTCACTGCTAACACACCTGAATCCCTGACCAAACTGTTGATGCTGAGCTGCATTGTGGGTAATGTAGGCAACAGGTTTTGAGGAAACCTCTGTAATAAAGACTTGTGTTCCAGAATTAGAGTCTTTATCAAACAGGTAGAGTTTAATACGTTTAAAAATGTTATTTTGCACTTTGGGAAATATAATATACATAAGGATACCAAATTTTTCAAATCTGACTGATTCAAGGGAATAAAACTTAACAATTAATCTTGGCAATTACAGATTTAGTTTAAGTTTAAAATGTATGGAAGTGCAATATTTATATATTTATTATATTTCTATATATATTTAGTAATATAATATTTTTTTGAGAGCATGAAATACTGGAGTTTTGGGAGAAAATGGTTTTCACAGGACAGTTATAGTGGACTGACCCAGATCTACGACTGGATAATAATTTGTTGAATATTACCACTAAACATATTATTACAGTGTGCAATCTATTTAGGAATGACATTGTGCGTACTGAAATTATTATTTCTGTTTGGTTTAAATCACTTTCCTGCAGATGCCCAACATCCAGATCTGTGTCTGTGGGTAAAAGACGAAACTTACTCTGGCACCAGGCAGACCAGACTCTCCAGGACGGCCGGGGTCACCGTTAGCACCCTTGGGACCGCTGGCACCGGCGGGTCCACGCTCACCAGGGGCTCCCTGTGTTCGGAGAAAGAATTTAAAAGCAGGAATTGGTCACTCAATCAATCAGTAAGGAGGTGACACTTCCATTCTCAAAGCTCAGAGGAAATTAATTTTCATCTATTGACCTGCTGGAGGTGGGAAGATTACATTTTGACAGACTCATTTTGGTGTAAATGAAATTGTGCAGGTGAAAAGATAATGGTAAATGAACTGCTGGATAGGGTGATAGGGGACATGTAGGTCACTGGTGCATGATGGGTTTATAAGCTATGCTGCCATCTTGAGGCCACACAGTGGAGTTGCATGTCCGCAGCAACTACAGAGACATATTCTGCAAAAATGGTTGGATTTGAATGTTGTTGAATTTAACATAAAAATAAATTCAATTGGTGATGTTATTTGGAAGTATTAACAACATTATGAGGACATGATTCATAGATGAAATTTTCTCACTGCAACAAAAAGCTAATTAGAAAAGTTGAAAGCAGATGAAATATGGTATTTGTGAGTTTCACAGTTTGACACGTGTGACAACTGATCAGCTGCATCTGTTTTCTGGATCCAGATCTTTATCCTCTAAATGCATCTCTGTTTATTTTCACTGTTAGATCAGTTTTCTGTTCTGAAAAATAAAACAGTAAAACAGAACAACTGTCTCAGGAACCAGTAAAACTGTCATGATACTCACCTTGGGACCAGCCAGACCATCTTGACCGGGGAAACCACGGTTACCAGGGGATCCCTATGCAAACAAAACAACAACCATGAAACCAGAGTCAGACTTATGATTTCAACAGGTTTGTGCAAATGTGCAACATACACACCTATATAATGATTATGTGTATATTAATAGATACAGTTGGGCTGTAATATAAAGTATGAATGGACAAGAAGAAACTGGAGAATTGTCTGGTTTAAATCTGAGGTTACTCACTCTCTCTCCGGGAGGTCCAAGTGGTCCAGCAGCACCGGGCTCTCCTCTGGGTCCCCTCTTACCCTCCTCTCCCTGGGGGCCATGTGCTCCCTGAGGACCAGCGGGTCCCTAGAAAACACATCCATAACACACTGAGTTATAACAGAGACAAAATGTGTAGCTGAAAGTAGCTGAAAAATCATCAGGGGTGATAGTTTTTCTCAGATAGAGTCAGAACTGCTGAACTCAAATTGACTTGATCTTGTTGGTGACTGATATCTGAGCTTATTATTTGGATAGATGTTCACATACTGTATCAGTGGATATGAATTTTGTGGGATGGATGAACAATTTGAGAATTCAGGGACAAAACTCACAAGTTCTCCTTTGGGTCCAGCCTCTCCCTTGAATCCTGGAATACCTGGGTCCCCCTAAACAACACCAGACAGAAAAAAGAGAGGGAGAATGAGAGAGAGAGAGCGGTGGAGCACATTGTTT